TGGAAAAATATCAGAATAAATTTATATTTTTGTTTACTAAAATAAAATGCCAAATATTGGTGGGACTATTTTCAATCCATCCATTTTCTTCCGCTTATCCGGGGCCGGGTCACGCTGTATCGGACCGTTGTGGTGAAGAGGAGCTGATCCCAAAGGCAAAGCTCTCGATTTAGCGTCAAGTCTTCGTTCCTCCCCTCACCTCTGGTCATGAGCTCTGGGTAATGATCGAAAGGACCAGATCGACGATACAAGCGACACAAATGAGTTTCCTCCGCAGGGCGTCTGGGCGTCTCCCTTAGAGACAGAGTGAGGAGCTCGGAGTAGAGCCGCTGCTCCTCCACGTGGAGAGGAGCGTCTGAGGGGAGGACGTCTGTTCTGATGTGCCTCCTGGACGTGTCCCTCAGGAGGTGTTCATGTCCACCGGGAGGGCCAGGGGAAGACCCAGGACACACACTGGAGGGACTATGTCTCTCGGACTGGCTGGGGAACACCTCAGGTCCCACTGGAGGAGCTGGAGGAAGTGTCTGGGGTGAAGGAAGTCTGGGAGTCCCTGCTTATTTATTTATTTATATATATAGCGTTTTCACAGATATTTTCTGTCCCCAAAGACACTTTTACAGAGCATTATTCAGCATTATTCAGCATTATTCAGCATTATTCATTCACTCTGTACCTGGTGATGGTGAACTACTATTGTAGCCACAGCTGCCCTGGGGCAGACTGACAGAAGTGCAGCTGCCATGCCACATCGGTCCCTCCGACCACCACCATCACTCACACACACACACACCACACACACACACACACACACACACACACACACACACACACACACACACACACACACACACACCACTTTCATACTAGGCAATGTGGGTGAAGTGTCTTGCCCAAGGACACAATGATTGATTGATTGTATTTAACTGACCTGGACTATCACCTGTTCTGGACCTGGAGCAGGTTTTGGGTTGAGTTGCTTAGACTCAAGCCCCGTCGACCCGCGACCCAGGGACTATTTTATCTTCCCCAAATATTGGTTGTGACACGTCCCCCCGTCCCTGTGCAAATCTACACACTTGCAGTGATAAAGTGTCGTGGAAAATGATCTTTTTAAATAACAGAACTGAACTTCCACTGAAGCAACAAAAATAACAGTTTATTTAATATTTTTGCAAAGAGAGGCAGAGGACAAGTCTGTTCAACGCAGGGTTTCTAACTCTGTCTGTGAGTGTCTAACCAAATATTATCAGAAGAAAGGAACATCTGCACCTGCGCTGGGTCACGATGCTCCAAAACAAACATAAGGACAGTTACTCCCTAATACGAGGAGAGCAGCTCCCAGGATATGAAAATATAAAACAGGATGTGAAACACACAATGAAAACTGTGAATAACTGCACATCGTCGCAAAAACTGTATTTTCCCATTACAAAAGTTAAACAGAAATCCGGGTATAGGAGAAGATTTAAGTCAAAAGTTTGAATTAGTAACTTTTATGACTCATTAAAGGTGCAAACTAAATACTGAAGTGCTTCATTCTGCTGTTTATTTAACAATATTGTAGATTTAGAAGAGTTTTTGTGGTTTAAATCTGTTTTTAGGTTATTGTGTCAGTGGCATAAATTAGTTTCAGTGTTATTTTTATCGTCTAGATTCACTTACACTTCACACGTCACCAAACTGTGGAACAATCCAAGTAAAACCAGTGTTGTGGAGTAACAGATTACAAGTACCAGAGTTATGTAATCAGAGTACAAATTATGAGTAAAAGTTTTCAGTTACAGTTACTGTTTCAGTGAGTGGTAATTGGATTACAGTTACTTTGTTGAAATAAATGGATTACACAGAGGGATTTTACTGTTTTCACATTTTGGGCTAAACCAGGACTAAAACCAGGACTAAAACCAGGTCTAAACCAGGACAAACCAGGACTAAAACCAGGTCTAAACCAGGACTAAAACCAGAACTAAAACCAGAACTAAACCAGAACTAAACCAGGACTAAACCAGGACTAAAACCAAGACTAAACCAGGATTAAACCAGTAATAAAACCAGGACTAAACCAGGACTAAAACCATGACTAAAACCAGAAGTAAACCAGGACTAAACCAAGACAAAAAAACAGGACTAAACCAAGAATAAACCAGGACTAAATCCAGGACTAAACCATGACTAAAACCAGAAGTAAACCAGGACTAAAACCAGAACTAAACCAGGACTAAACCAAGACAAAAAACAGGACTAAACCAGGACTAAACCAAGACAAAAAACAGGACTAAACCAGGACTAAAACCCATAACATCTCCATGGAGAGTCTGTAGTGTCGATCATCACCTGGTTGAAGGAGAAATGGGCATAATCCAGCGCGGTTCCCTCAACGCCATCCACCAAAACCGGCATCGAAACGTCGGCTCCGTTCTTCACCAACAAATCCAACTGCGACAGAAACACGTGAACCCTGGAGTCGAACCAAAACCGCCGCAGTTTTCGTGTGTGTTTTTATGTTTTCCTGTACCAGTTTTTGCCTGTTGCCTCGTGAGCTGTGGTTGACGTCGGAGAGGACGCAGAGAGCGCTGCCCACTCCGTCTCCTAAAGGGACGTTTGGATCGGCGCCGCATCTGAGCAGCTCCTTCCACGGCCTGAAGACACAGACACGATTTAAAGATCACGTAGTACGCAAAAAATGGACTCTTGTGAGCTTCAAGTCGTGTCAGGATCCTGGTACCTCATCGAAAGTGGACCGTACCTGGAGTTGTGTTTTGTTTCATTCAGTTCGGCAATTCCAGGTGTGAAATGATCCAAATGATTCTAGTGAAGGTGTGTGAAGTTTAAAAACACAGTGGAGCCCTTCAGTGGTGTAGTGTTTTGTTTTTTTTAAGTGGGGTTACGTGATTTGTGACGTCATCGATACTCAACTTGACATGTCGAAATACACACAGGTGTCATATAGATCATTTATTTATGAGCAGGACTAAACCAGGACTAAACCAGGTCTAAACCAGGTCTAAACCAGGAGAACTAAAGCAGGACTGAATCAGGACTAAATCAGGACTAAACCAGGACTTGAGAGTGAGAGAGAGTCCGCAAAGTGCAATCAGACGATGGCTGCTCTCTGCCCTGTAGAGGCAGAGTTCTGCATCTGTACTTTCATCTGCGGTCACCCGATGGTCTACACGGGTGCACCTCCAGGCCTGTCCCAACACTCAGTCCTGGTTTAGTCCTGTTTTAGACCTGGTTTAGTCCTGGTGTAGACCTAGTTTAGTCCTGGTTTAGTCCTAGTGTAGACCTGGTTTAGTCCTGGTGTAGACCTAGTTTAGTCCTGGTTTAGTCCTAGTGTAGACCTGGTTTAGTCCTGGTGTAGACCTAGTTTAGTCCTGGTGTAGACCTGGTTTAGTCCTGGTGTAGACCTAGTTTAGTCCTGGTTTAGTCCTGGTGTAGACCTGGTTTAGTCCTGGTGTAGACCTAGTTTAGTCCTGGTTTAGTCCTAGTGTAGACCTGGTTTAGTCCTGGTGTAGACCTAGTTTAGTCCTGGTTTAGTCCTGGTGTAGACCTGGTTTAGTCCTGGTGTAGACCTGGTTTAGTCCTGGTGTAGACCTGGTTTAGTCCTGGTGTAGACCTAGTTTAGTCCTGGTTTAGTCCTAGTGTAGACCTGGTTTAGTCCTGGTGTAGACCTGGTTTAGTCCTGGTGTAGACCTCTGGTTTAGTCCTGGTTTAGTCCTGGTGTAGACCTGGTTTAGTCCTGGTGTAGACCTGGTTTAGTCCTGGTGTAGACTGGTTTACCTGGTTAGACCTGTTTTTAGTCCTGGTGTAGACCTAGTTTAGTCCTGGTTTAGTCCTAGTGTAGACCTGGTTCAGTCCTGGTGTAGACCTGGTTTAGTCCTAGTGTAGACCTGGTTCAGTCCTGGTGTAGACCTAGTTTAGTCCTGGTTAATCCTGGTTCAGTCCTGCAGATTTCATGAGCTTGTGTAGTTTGTTTTCATCATGTCAAGCTCCAGTTTGACATTTAATTTATATCTATTTTATATTTGTTATTTTTTTCTATCTCACATCGGGAGAAGTGGGTGGACGCATGCACCAGGGCCACTACACCCCGGAGCACTTCCTGCATTACCACAGGGTGGAGCAGAGTGTTTTAAACACCTGTGAATGAAACAAAACACAACTCCAGGTCTGTTCTGACGAGGAAACAACATCATAACATAAATCAGAACATAGTGTCATATGGACACTTTAATAATTTTAAGTAAAAACATTTTATGGATAATCAGAGGTGGGCAGAGCAACGTTAAAATAATATTATGCACTTTCAGGTAAAATGTAATTCCCCAATTAAGTAACAATTACAAATAAGACTATAAAAATGTATTTGGACAAACTACTGAGCAACAGTTTGGATATAAAATGTATTTAAAATCTGACGAATGATTTAGATTAATCAGATGCACAGATTCTGGAATAAGAAATAAAACACAGACACAAAAATTATGAAAACAAATCATCTGAAGATAAGACATGGCCAAAACTTTTACTTATGACAGAGTAAAAAACAAATTATTACTCTAGTGGGAATAAAAGTAACGTGTTGAAAAACTACTCTAAAAAGTACAATTTCTTAGTTACACGAGTAAATGTACCTGAGCACAAACCCACCTCTGTGAAAAAGACGTGTTTAGTATCTTTAACGCGTTACCGTTTCATTTCCACTTGCGATGGCGAGAGAGAGCGGCGAGTGTCCGCTCCACAGCAGATCTGTCCGAGCTCCACGCGCCAAGAGAAGAGCCACGATTTTGCTCACGTTCTGAAAATAAAAAGCAAATTATGACTCAACTGAAGTGGTTATAACAGGAGGTTTTGAGTCTCTGTTGATATGTACAAAATTGCAGCTTCTTGGTTTTTTTCACCTTGTTTTGTTGATTTATTTTACCTGCCATGTTTGTATTTTTTAATTCTGAGGAAAATAAATAAATAATATCCAAGGATTTATTTTCAAGGTTCGACAACTCATATCATCGAGTTGAAATGAAAAGTGATGAAAAGTTTAACATTTAATAACAAGGAAAATTCTGCATAACATTTATTTTGCCTGTTATTATAGAATAGAAATAGTTACTTTTTGTGTTATATCTATGTATTTACGTTTTTGTCTTTTTTTATTATTTAGTTTTTTAATTTATGTTCTATGTATTACTGTCCGAAATAAACATAATAATAAATAAACATAATAATAACATTTAATAAACATTTAAGTTTATTTGGGGGATACTTTATACATATATAAGTATATTTATTTTATTTCTTAAATATAGAGATTGTAGAACAGCTGGATATATAGTTTATTTTGGATACATTTATGTTTTTCTGCCTTATTTCATCTCGGGAATCATTGGCAACACAGAATATATGTCTCTTCTCTGATTGGTTGGTGCCTGAACTTGCACTTCTGGGGTTTTTGTGAACCGTCTAGTGTTTTCTGATTCCTGACCTAGTCTCTGGAGAGAAATGAAATTGAGCAAAAGCACTAGGTGGAGCCAGACTGGGTAATATTGTTCCATTTTGGAGAGAAATTCATTAGAAACTGTGTTCTGTATTGAGCATTTCGACTTACTGGTTGTGGGTTTCCTGATGGGTGAAAATGTGACGTATAAAGTTAAATACCTGTTCCAGATTTTGAGTGCGGCTGCCAGGAAAACTATAACCAAGAAATGGCTTAATTCACAGATACCAACACCGGATGAACGGTTTGAGATCGTTTATGACATTTTTAAGATGGAGAGAATCACTTTTAGTATAAGACTGCAACAAGACAAATTTAAGAGCGAATGGAATTTATAAAAACTGTAAGGCCAGACTTTTTAAACCCTTTACTCAGTTTTTTTCTAGCACTGGTTGTAAAAATTATTCATGTGTAAGCATCAAAGACACACCCCACATGTTATATTGTATTTGTCTTTGTTACGGCCCCAGGCCTTAGTTGTAATATTTCTGCAGAGTTTTCTTGATTCCTGCTGCACGAGCCCTGGTCTGTGATTGGTGGGGCAAGTCCACGCCCACTTCACCTGCAGCCACGCCCCCTATTGCCAGGAGATTGCAGCACCTGTTTGGGGCTTGCTGGCCTTCGGTGGTCAGTCTGCCATTTTGGTTTCGTGTATGTAGTTTAGTCTCATTCTGTTTTGTGCCTTTTTTGATTTGGTCACTCGATTCTGTTTGTGGGTTTATGTGGTTTAATTTGGGGAACTTGTGTTTAGTTTAGTGTGTGTCCCTAAGTTTTACCACTCGTTTTTGTGTAAACCTGCGTGACCCCTTTTCTGGCACAAAACTCTGTTTATTCTGTTGTTCTGTTTCTTAGTTTAGGTTGTTTTCTGTATATTTTTAGTGTTTTGTTAATTTACCTTTACATTCCTGTTAATTAAACATTACTTAATTTATTCCATTTTACATCTTGGTTTTATTTTTGTTACTTCCCTCACCCCAAACGAGCTGCGTCGTAACAGTCTTTTTCATACAACTTTAAAAAAAAGAAAAAGAAAGAATTACACACACCTGATAGTCTGTGTTTCTCCGACAGGCCACGTGCAGAGCAGTCGAGCCTCCTTCTCTGTCTTTTGTTTCCACTGTGGATCTGACTGGATCACGGATCTCCTTTCAAAACAGACAGATCAGAGCTTTGTTTCTGTACAGAATTATCAGTGAAATCATCCAGAGCGTTAGAATCAGTGGAAACTCTCACCCGGTCACTGTGGTTCGTCTGGTCCTCGTCACAGGCTCTGGCGTCCGGGTCTGTGATGGTCTGAAGCAGGAGCTCAGTGATTTTAGGCCCAGCTGATCCCGGCAACGCAGCGGCTACATGCAGCGGATACAAACCCTTTCTCTAAAAGAAGACGGTTAAATACTAGATCAGGTCTAAACCAGGTCTAAACCAGGACTAAACCAGGTCTAAACTAGATCTAAACCAGGTCTAAACCAGGTCTAAACCAGGACTAAAACCAGGTCTAAACTAGATCTAAACCAGGGCTAAACCAGGTCTAAACCAGGTCTAAACTAGATCTAAACCAGGGCTAAACCAGGTCTAAACCAGGACTAAAACCAGATCTAAACCAGGGCTAAACCAGGTCTAAAACCAGGTCTAAACCAGGTCTAAACCAGGACTAAACCAGGTCTAAACTAGATCTAAACCAGGGCTAAACTAGATCTAAACCAGGACTAAAACCAGGTCTAAACTAGATCTAAACCAGGTCTAAACTAGATCTAAACCAGGTCTAAACCAGGACTAAACTAGATCTAAACCAGGGCTAAACCAGGACTAAACCAGGTCTAAACTAGATCTAAACCAGGGCTAAACCAGGTCTAAACCAGGACTAAAACCAGGTCTAAACTAGATCTAAACCAGGGCTAAACTAGATCTAAACCAGGGCTAAACCAGGTCTAAACCAGGACTAAACCAGGTCTAAACTAGATCTAAACCAGGGCTAAACCAGGTCTAAACCAGGACTAAAACCAGGTCTAAACTAGATCTAAACCAGGGCTAAACCAGGTCTAAACCAGGACTAAACCAGGTCTAAACTAGATCTAAACCAGGCTAAACCAGGTCTAAACTAGATCTAAACCAGGTCTAAACTAGATCTAAACCAGGGCTAAACCAGGTCTAAACCAGGACTAAAACCAGGTCTAAACTAGATCTAAACCAGGTCTAAACTAGATCTAAACCAGGGCTAAACCAGGTCTAAACTAGATCTAAACCAGGACTAAACTAGATCTAAACCAGGGCTAAATCAGGACTAAAACCAGGTCTAAACTAGATCTAAACCAGGGCTAAACCAGGTCTAAACCAGGACTAAAACCAGGTCTAAACTAGATCTAAACCAGGGCTAAACCAGGTCTAAACCAGGACTAAAACCAGGTCTAAACTAGATCTAAACCAGGACTAAAACCAGGTCTAAACTAGATCTAAACCAGGACTAAAACCAGGTCTAAACCAGGTCTAAACCAGGTCTAAAACCAGGTCTAAACCAGGTCTAAACCAGGACTAAACCAGGTCTCAACCAGGTCTAAACCAGGTCTAAACTAGATCTAAACCAGGTCTAAACCAGGACTAAATCCTGCTGTGTGGACGTGTTTCTTCTTCTTCTATCAATAATATTTTTAATTTGGTTTAGTAAAATTTGGGTTTTTAAATTTTCTTTTATCAGACAAAACTTCTTATGTGAAGATTTCCTCGTCTTTGTTTCTCTACAGCAAATCAAGTAATCCAAAGTAATCAGATTACATTACTCACTTTAAGTAATTTAATGGATTACGTTACAAACTACATTTTGGGGTGTGTAATCTGTAATCTGTAGGGGATTACATTTTAAAAGTCACCTTCCCAACACAAACGTCCCTGCGTACCTGCGGAGGGAGCGGTGCGTCGGTGCGAGCCCCGTGCAGCAGCAGCCTCCTCACGCCCTCCACGTCACGCGCCATCACGGCCACGAACAGGACGGGCACCGGGACCCTGCAGGCGTTCGGGTCGGCGCCGCGCTCCAGCAGCAGCTCCAGGGTTTTCAGACGCTCGCGATGCCTGGGCACACGTCACGTCACAACTGAAACTGTGAAGCTGACGTCATCAACATTTCCCTGTGGCTGTGATGCAAAATAGAGGTTCAATAGTCTATTTTTTGTGCTAAAAGTTGCGCAGTGGGGCTTTAATTAATAAACAACAATACACGCATCAAGAATCTCAGACTTCCGGTCATTGCGCAGTGACACACTGGGAAGGATTTTCTGAAAAAGTGAGCATCAAACCTCCATGTTTGTTTTCCCAGTGGGATGTGTCTATTGTCAAAGTGGATCTTTTCAAGTCTTTTGAACCATATCACTTTTGTTTCTGGTTCTGATATTGTCATATTTTAGTTTTGGGATTCGGACGTCGTTAATTGTTGTGGTTGTTGGATCCTAACAGCGGAAAACGACTCGAGAAATTGTGTTTGCAAACTTCCATAAATGTAAAAGTGAATCAGATGTGTGTGACTCAAACCTCTGTTCAAACTGTTTCTCTTCCCAACGGAATTGAAAAATAGTGAAAGGTGAAGGTGATGGGCAGGATTGATCCACAGGAAAAACCAAAAAGGAAACATTTGTCTGACTAAATCATCCTGAGTTTACAGAGAACATTTTGTATGTGGAGCGACGACAAAGCAGGATCCCGTTTGTTAATGTAGAGGAGCAGAAGACAAACAGACTGAGCTGCACTTTCTTGTTCTTGTGGTTTTACAGAAACATCACGTCTTGGTCTTTGCAGTGGAAGGTGTTTCTTGGTGAACAGTTGGAGCCTTTCACTTTGGTGTTGACTTTTTAAATTCGTAACCAAGACTGAGTGAGGGATCGAGATTTTGCTTTGTCGTCGCTCCACATACAAAATGTTCACTGCAAACTTAGTCAGACAAATGTTTCCACAAATCTGGTCACACTGACCTGTATTCACCTGAGTCATGTCTTTTAATCCAACACAAGTTGAACCACATCAGCGACACAAGAGCTGGAGTTTTATCTTCACTTAGTTTATGCAAATTAGTGATGTGGTTTTAAGTTTTGTTTCTGTGAGATTTGAACAAAACTGAATTAAACACATTATAATGTCAAACAGCTGATGTGGATCTAGAGTCGTTATGTTTATATGTCGTAAAGTTGAATTTATTTATGCAGATTAGTGCAGATAGTAATAATAATGATGATCATTTTAATATAAAAACATTAATGATTAATCGATAATCGATCGTTAATTCTTCCGACGATCGATTAAGAAAATTTCATCGAATGCCCGTCCTTACTCTCCACACTTCACTCAAACATTTTAATATAGAAGTCACACCGGAGAATAAGTCACAGGAAACACACAAACCAGGAAAAAATTTATAATCTGAAAAAATACGGTAACTGACAAAAAGTTTCTACCAGTGAAGACGTCATTTTACTCACTCAGTTTTCATGGCGGGCGTCTTGTGGACCGTCTCCTCAGCGTCCAGGCTGTGAGTGAAGTCTGTGCGACTCAGTGTCTCAGCTGAACGCTGCCGGGACTCTGCTTGTCTGTCCTTGTTATTCTGAGTGTTTTCCACAGCCTCCTCCTCCTCAGACTTCACCAGCTCAGCCTCAACAAACATTTAAGAGAAATGTACGGTTAAAATTCAGTGTACGTCATTGGTTGGAAATGTTTTTCTTACTTGTGTGTCTGTGTCAGTGAGGTTGTCTTGTAGCGCCGTTGTGTAGAGGGAGTGAAAAGGGTAAAACAGGACGTGACACACAGCCAGAGCCGACATGTTTTCTGCGTTCAGTTTGTCGATGTCAACTCCATTATCCAACAAACGCTCAATCACCTCGTCACAGCAATTCACCTGTAAAAAAAACACACACACACAAAATATGACATATTAATATAATGTTTAAAGACGGTGGAAGCTCTGTGACCAGCTTGTCGCCATGGAAATATTTCTTTGCCTAGACCAGGAGTGTCAAACTCATTTTGTTCCGGGGGTCGTATCCATCCGACTTTGATCCCAAAGTGTCCGGATCAGAAAACTCATGTCACATAAACCCCAAAAATAACAATAAGTTCAAATATTTGTGCAGAGAAACACAAATCTATTACAGAAATCTTTTTTAATTGATGAACTCTTTCTTTTACAAAATATTATAATATTATGAACAACCTGAAACTTTAAGAAAAATACAATTTCAACACAAAGTTTGAACATGAACTTGTCTGTAAACAGGATTAAGTCAATTTTTGTTGTAAAATTCTGCACTCGGCCACGTACAGAGACGCTGGAGACGCTGCTGTGATAAACACCACAGAAAATTAACAAGATTTTAATAAAAAATAGAATTAAAATATTTTAGTAGAAAATCAGGGGCCCGGGCCGCATGTTTGACACCTGTGGCCTAGAATATTAAAATGTACGGCAATTAACTCACCTACACTACCGGTCAAAAGTTTTAGAACACCACAATTTTTCCAGGTTTTTACTGTTTCCTGTTGACCAAAACATATTCTGAACTTTTGATTCATGAAAGTGTCCATCTTTGTTATTGCTATTGCAGTATAATGTGATGTGTGAGTTACTGTGTCAAATGAATTTATCTTATAGATCAATAAAAATTTGTCAAAAAGTGCACTCACACTAGGACTTTAGAACCGTGCCCAGACACAGATCGTCCCTGAAGCTTTGGTACGTTTGTCCAATGTGAATGCAAATGGGACTTTGGCCCAGAGGAGGAGGTGGATCAAAGCACGAGACAGAGCTCACACGATTTTACCATACGAGCCCTGTGTGTGCGCTGATGTTACTCATACGAGGAAAACACTGAATAAAATCTAATCCAAAACAACTTCAGTAAGGACAGACAGAAGTTTAGCTGTGTGTCGTCTCTGGTGGTCCTCACTGCTTGAACATGGCACGGTTCTAAAGTCCTAGTGTGAGTGCGCCCTCAGTCTAAGTCTAAGTCTAAGTCTACGTTCAGACTGCAGGGCTTAACTCTCAATTCAGATTTTTTTGTGAAATCCGATGTTTTTTCGAGGTGGTTCACATTTCCAGTTAAATGTGACTTGCATGTGACTCCAGTGTGAACATTAAACGGCCCGAACGTGTCCCACATGTGACACTGGAGACACGACGACGTCAACCACAGCGAGCGTCTCTGTGTTTACAGAAGTTGTCCAAACATGGACGCAGCATCGAGCACCTGGAGATTTTAAAGTTCCTCTCGTACCGGAGCCAGAACATGAACAACTTAGTTGTTTTAAGGAGGAGATTGAGAAGGAGAAGGACAAGGTTTTTGGTCGTGGTGTTTTGTGGGACAGAACGTTGAAAGGAACGTGTGGATGTGGAGACGGAGCCAAGAGTGGTGAGTGGAGATGTGCTTCACTTCAGTCACACGGAGTTCATTAACAATTTTTGGTTACTTAAGCGCAGAATAGTGACGTTTGTGTCTTGTTGATAACGTGTAGGTGGATGAATGCGCTTTGGCCTGTTCACACTGAAGTCGCATGTCAAAAGATCAGATATGTATCGGTTTTAGGAGCACATATCCAAGTGTCCTGGGTCACATTTGAAAAAATCGGATCTGTGCCGTCATTAAAAGATCGGATACAGGTCACATAGAAGCCAAAAAATCGGATTTGGGTCACTTCAGGCTGCAGTCTGAACGCAGCTTAAGTCTAAGACAACAACTTTATGCAAATGACTAAAAGCCTTCAGTTACCGTGGCAGCGATCAGCGCCGTGTTTCCGCGAGCGTCGGCCACGTCAGGATGAACCTGCCCCGCCCACACGATCTGAGACACGGCGCTCTTCTCTCCACGAGACGCATGGAGGATCAGCTGCTCCGAACTGACCTCCAGAGGACCTTTAGGACCAAAGCCTCTCCGGCTCAGAGACAAGACAGCTCCAACATCCCAGCTCTGCTTCTGCCCCTGACGCCTGGACAAGAGGAAGAACAGGATTTAAAGGTCCTGTGTTACACACGACTGACTCCTGTGAGCTTTAAACCTTTATAATCTTATAATGTTGTTCCTCCTCAAAAACAGACCTGGAGTTGTGTTTTGTTTTATTCACACATGTTTGATTAACTCTTTATTATTAGTCTGTTTACGTCTCCAAAGCTCAAAACGCTCTGCTCCACCTTGTGATGTCATAATAGTTTTCAAGTGACCTTTAGCTCAGGATACAATCACACTGAAACGAATCATCGAATCACCGTATCAGAAACATTTTGTGTCCAAATGCGTTGTTTCTGTGTCCGCCAGCCTTCCCTGTCCACACAGCTTTGAGCACATTTGTTTACATTTTACAGAAACGAAACTTAAAACCACATGACTCATTTGCATAAACTAAGTGCTCAAAAATAAAAACAGCTCTTTCCTTGTGCTGCTGATGTGGTTCAGCTTCTGTCGAACTAAAGGACATGACTCAGTGTAATATGAGTGTTCTCTCTGTGACAGAGGGGTGTTCTGCTGATGGTGAGTCTGTTCTGTGTTTCTGTCGTGTTGGAGATGGTTCATGTGAAACTTTTTCAGAGATTATACGTCTGCAGGTCGTACACACAGACACACGTTTATACGAATGGACACATATTCTAGCCTGTTAGGCTGTGTTCAGACTGCAGCCTGAAGTGACCCAAATCAGATTTTTTGGCTTCTATGTTCCTGTATCCGATCTTTTAATGTCAGTCTGAACGACACAGATCTGTTTCAAATGTGACCCAGGACACTTGGATATGTGCTCCTGAAACTGATACATATCTGATCTTTTGACATGTGACTTGGTCAAAGTGCATTCATCCACCTACACGTTATCAACAAGACACAAATGTCACTATTCTGCGCTGAAGTAGGAGAAAATTGTTAATGAACTCCGTGTCGCTGAAGTGAAGCACATCTCCACTCACCACAAAACACCACGACCAAAAACCTGGTCCTTCTCCTTCTCAATCTCCTCCTTAAAACAAGTAAGTTGTTCATGTTTTGGCTCCGGTACGAGAGGAACTTTAAAATCTCCAGGTGCTCGATGCTGCGTCCATGTTTGGACAACTTGTGTAAACACAGAGACGCTCGCTGCGGTTGACGTCGTCGTGTCTCCAGTGTCACATGTGGGACACTTTCGGGCCGTTTAATGTTCACACTGGAGTCACATACAAGTCACATTTAACTGGAAATGTGAACGACCTCGAAAAAACATCAGATTTCACAAAAAAATCTGAATTGAGCGTTAAATCCTGCAGTCTTAACGTAGCCTTCACGTTTTGGCGGTGAATGACTTGGCGGCGCACAGATCTACATCAGAGTATCAGTGTTTTCAGGCGTCCACGCGGCGCCGGATCAGATCTGTACGAACATGAATTCGTGGGAGCTGGAGACACCGGATCGTTCCGTCTCTGGAGCCGTTTTCAATCGGATTAATGTGAACGAACACTGCATCCACAACGAAAACAACTCGAATACGAACTAGTGTGGACGGGGCCTCAGTTTGGATCGTCAATTTCAGGGCTGAAATTATCCGTATGATTCTAGTGAAGGTGTGAAGTGTATTACCACATGACATCACAAGGTGGAGAGTGTTTTCAGTTTGAGAGAAGAACTCAAAGAAAATATGAATGAAACAGAAGAGAGCGCCAAGTTTGTGATGAGGAAACAACAGAGCTTCATTGAGTTTATTTTTTCGATAGTGTCCAGTTCGCTCACCTGTGTTTGAAAACATTCGCCTGCATCCGAGTGTCTACGGGCAGAGCGGACAGGGGGTCTCTCTTATAGCCCAGGTACGGTTTGGGGTCAGGCTCCCACTCGTCGCCGTAGAAACACTTATCCAGCTCGTGTCTGCGTTTGGGCGGCAGAGGCAGGTTGTCCCAGTCGGTCGAATATTCCTCCAGACCAGCGGGAAAAATGAAACAGTCGTCTACAGCTAAAACATGCGTCTAAAACAGAGCAAAGAGAGGTCAGTTGCACTAAGTCACTTTTTCTGGTGGACCGAGGTCCGTGAGATGTTCCGCAGTATGACATTAAACAATCCATCTCGCATTTACCGTATTTTCCGGGTCATTAGGCGCGTTCTTAAGCCTCTAACCGCGCCCCGCAATCCAGAGCGCCCCATACACGAATCCACTCGGGTGTCCCAGTACGACTTCAGTAAACTATAAAGCCGCACCACCCGCAGAACACGCAAACACACACGGAGCAGACAGCGACCGCACAGCGAAACACACCCACAGACACACTCATCGCTCCACGCCGACGAGGAACGGAACGGAGGAACGAACTGAAAAAGCGACAAGTGCAATGTGCCGCTTCTAGACACGACTGAACAACTGAGTCACTGCGAACACGCCGACAATCCGTTGGTCCCAGACACATCCTCCCTACACGAAAGTTTAAAAATGTCAAAAATGACCGATAACGATGGACAAAACTGAAACGCCATTTACCAAGATTAGAATTTCTGTCAAGATGAACGGAAAACTGTGCTTAAAGAGGGGGTATTTTTGGAGCTTTCTCCCATGTTTTAATGTTCCATCGTCTAAAAAAAACATGTCTGAAGAGGTTTTAGAGACATCCACGTGTGTTTGAGTAATCTAGCGATCTCTCTGTACGAGATTTCTCCATAAATACGACAGTAAACACGAAAATTCTCCATGAATAATACAAAAACGTGACAGAAAACCGCACTAGATTCGTTAGAGGGGACGCAGTGATTGTGCTGTGATGGCGCTCTGAAGGGGGAGCGACTTAGCAGCAAAACTGAAACTTATAAAACACGTTAAGCTGTTGTTGCGGGTGATTATAGCGTTTACAGAACAATAAAAAGAGCTAAAAATGTGAGGAACGGAACGGAGGAACGAACCGAAAAAGCCACGAGCGCGACGAGCCGCTTCCAGACACGACTGAACAACTGAGTCACTGCGAACACGACGACAATCCAGCGACAGACACTACTCCCTACACGCCACAACTGCCCAGAGTCACCGTGAACAAACAAACAAAACCACTCACCCATCACACTGTTGGGTTTCCTTTAAAGTCCCACGCCGTTTATTTGTGAAAAAAGTTCGAAAATAGACCATTTAATGACAGTGCGTCTTATAATCCAGAGCGACTAATAACCCGGAAAATACGGTATTCAATTGCATTTTTTATTTTATTTTTTTTAAAATATTGACATAAACTACTTTCAAACCATGCATTCTTATTGTGATTTGGGTTGCTTCTCCACAGATCTGACCCTGACCTGGCGTAGTCGCACCATCTTCTTGTCTTCATAGAAATATATACATTTCATGCAATATTGCACAACATTAATAATAATAATAATAATAATAATAATAATAATAATAATAATAATACGTAACAGTGGAATAGCGCTTTTCAAGATACTCAAAGACGCTTTACATGAGGAGACAAACAAAGACAAACGAGAAAAGTTAATGAAAGGTGGTTGGGTTTTCAGGACGTCCGGGCACAGGTTTTACAGGTAACGTAATAACATCTCCATGGAGACGAGCAGGTGGCACCAGTAAATCACATCTGCGGAGAGGCGCCCTCCGCTTATAGTAAGAATGGATGGTTTTAAGGACTTTTCTGTAATAAAAACACCTGTAATTGTATATGTGCAAGATAGATTAATGCCAACCTGTGGAACATTCCTGGTAAAGCAATAACACTGGGATTAAACACCTAAACTCTGCCCACAACCGCATTTTAATTCAAGCCATTAAACTGGGCAGAACCTGAAGGATTAAAGGGGAGAGTGTATAAAAATCTTCCTCTCACTGATTATATTTGAAGAATTGTAGCCCTTTGTCTTTTTTTTGTGTGTCTCTTTTAATGTGTTTTGACTGGATTTACTTTTGTTTTCTTTATTGTAATTATTAGTGCTGTCATGCGATTAAAAAAATTGAGAGATTAATTAATTATGATCTGTAATTAATTAATCTAATTAATCTCATTTTAATCTCACCTAAAAATTGCTGAGAAAAGCTTCAATTTGAGGTATTTTCATTTAAATTCATTATTACATTATTGTGGCAGATCAAAAGACTGATATAGATTAAAAAAAGTGACTTTATAAAGTCATTTATTGTTTAACAAATCTCTCCAATTTGGCTGTTGAGCCCAAGTCTCCATGAATAAGAAACTGTTTGTTGTAAAGTAGCAAAGCAAAGACGAGGAAATCTGAACATAATAACTTTTGTCGACTTAAAGACAATAAAAAGTCCAGTCTTTCCTTAACCATATTAAAAATATTATTGATAGAGAAATGCTTTATATATGAGATCACTGGTTTTAGTCCTGGTTTAGTCCTGGTTTAGACCTGGTTTAGTCCTAGTTTAGTCCTGGAATGGATTAATCCTGGTTTTAGTCCTGGTGTTAGTTCTGGTTTAGTCCTGGTTTAGACCTGGTTTAGTCCTGGTGTTAGTCCTGGTTTAGTCCTGGTTTAGTCCTGGTTTAGTCCTGGTTTTAGTCCTGGTTTAGTCCTGGTTTAGTCCTGGTTTAGTCCTGGTTTTTGGTTTAGACCTGGTTTTAGTTCTGGTTTTAGTTCTGGTTTTAGTTCTGGTTTTAGTTCTGGTTTAGTCCTGGTTTTAGTTCTGGTTTTAGTTCTGGGTTTAGTCCTGGTTTAGTCCTGGTTTAGACCTGGTTTTTTAGTCCTGGTTTAGTCCTGGTTTAGTCCTGGACTGGGTTAGTCCTGGTTTTAGTCTTGGTGTTAGTTCTGGTTTAGAGGTGCACAGGAGGAAGCTCGGTTTACGCAGCGACGCGAGAAAACACGATCCACACGCGGCTCACGGCTCACGGGAGGACAGCGATGTCCGCGCAGTAACTATGGAAGAAAACATGGTCCACGCGCGTTCTCAGGTTAATGACGATGATGAAGGTGTGTGTTTGTTTGTGTGTGTTGTGTTTGTGTTGTGTGTGCGTGTCCCCTCATGTGCAGGTTGTTTTCAGGCGATATTATATTTGTTATTTTCTTTTATATTTCACGTCGGGAGAATAATTTCCAAGACACGAATGTGTTTTTCCCTGTGCACTGCTGCTCTGTTCTACTGGCTCTTCGACCTCGTCCATTGTGTGACTGACGCCGCCAACGTGAACATGACGTTTACATCGCTCTTACTGCGCGCGTTTTGTGTGGGTTTCCGGCAATGAGTGGAATTACCGAAATAAAAAAATGTATAAATGTGTTTTGTGTGTGTGTGTGTGTTGTTGTCCCAACAACACATAAAAACAGGTTTTATAATAAAGAAACTCACATACAGAAACACTAAAGTTAGAGATTAAAAATGAGATTAACGCGATTAAAAAACATAACGCACTAAATATGATTGTAATTAATTAATCGCAATTAACGCGATAATTTGACACCCCTAGTAATTATGTTATCATGCTGCAGAATGTTTGTACCTTTTCTAATAATTTAAAAATAATACAAATGAAAGGGGAGAGTGAGAAGAGAGGAGGGGCGTGGTCTGGAGATTTAAGGAACAGTGTGATTGGTCTAACGGAACACAACAGTTCGATAAGTCTGTCAAACTTTATTTAACGCGTTCGCAACAACTCTCAACTTTGTTCAATTGTAACACGTAAAACAAATACTGTCTGAGACGCTAAATTGTTCTCGTATTCACAATAAGTCATAATTGTTCAAACAGTTGGGTGATTCCGGTGTCCACACGTCCACATCCGTCTCGTCATGATCCGAGTCAGTGTGGTTCCTGTTCCCTGGAGTTCAGTTCAGTGATGATTCAGGTCTTGGTGAAAGTTCGGACCACAGTTGATCCTGATCCTTCGCCCGGGCGTCCGCGATCCGTCGGCAGATCGTGGCGTAAGTCGCTCTCGGCGCTGTCTCTCTGTCTTGGTGAATGTGTGTTCTCCTTCTCTCATCCACTGCTCCCACGCAGCTAAACGCACTTTCACTTTACAACAGCCTTGAGTTTAAAGTGGGCGTTGTGAGCGTGTTCATTTTTATTTATTTTTTATGTATTTATTTCGGTCACAGGTATATTTTGACATGAATTCACAAACAGTCATATTTAACACACACAGACTGAAAAGGTGCAGGCTGAAGCTTGAGCTTATTCTGCCTTTACCCTTTATTCCTTTATCAGAGCTTCAACTCGACACCAGTTCATCTTCAAAAATACAGCAAGAGGAAACAAACTAATCAGTAACAGAACAACAAACTTCTACAGCACAAACTAAGTATCAAATTTCATGTATCTGTCCAGAGTTAAACATTTAAACTTCTTTATAAAGTGAAAGAGTTTGGTGCACAATTTTAGGTTTTCTGTACATTTGTTCCACAGCTCCAGCCCTTTAACAGATTTACAAAATTTCATAATGTTTGTTCTGATTTTCTTATTGATAAACATGGTCGTGCCTCTGAGCCCGTATTGGCTCTTTCGGATTTTGAACATGTGTGTCTCTTGACAGGTGCATTTTGATATTAAAGTGAATCACAGTCTGTTTTACTCCTGATGCTCCTGACGACGGGAGCCGCGACGCTGCAAGTGGAGCGGCTTTGTACTTTACTAAAGTCGTACTAAGACACAACAATAAATTCATATATAAGACACTCTGGATTATAAAGCGCGCACTTGTTTTTTGATGAAATTAAAGGCTTTTAAGTGCGCCTTATAGTGCGGAAAATACGGTAGTTGCACGTTCTTTCCCATGTGCGTTACCTCGGGGTATTTGAAGTTTGTCTGAGACCACGTCACACTCCCCTCAGCAGTGGCAGAAGAGTCCAGATAAGCAGCGTATCCGGGCAGGTCTCTGAGAGTGAAGCTTTCTCCCACAGCGCTGCAGAGTCGGATCAGGCGCTCGTCGAGCCACAGACCCACGTCTTGGCGACCGTCGGGATACGACAGCACCCCGGGTCCCAACCTACAGCCGACGTGATACAAACCCTGACAGCAGAGAGAGTCACCCAGAGTCAATCTTTCTGCTTTATCTGCTTTTTCCAGGTAAGAACAGTGAGTGGAGCCAAAATAACTAGGGTTAAGGTTTAAAGAATTGGACTGAAGTGCCCTACGAAGAAGCAGAACGCTGCAAGATCATGTTTGGTCAAAAATGAGTTCATGTCATTTTGTTTGTATTGGAGACCTCCTTTATCACGTGAATAAATATTGATTTGTTGAAAAAGCTGATTGAACTACATATACCATGATCCTTTGCTCCATTACAGTGCAGATTACATGAAAAGTAATACAAATAACAAGAAGAATCATAATTTTTAAGCATGTTTAAATTTTAATTTTTTGGTTTATGACGGAACAAAAGTCTTGCCAAGGCATTTTAATAGGAAAAAATTCACAATTTTGTTAGAGTTTACAAAATATCGCAATAAATATGGTAACGTGGGATGTATATCATGAAAATACTGAGATTTGAATCCCTATTTATTTCCAATATTATTTGTTTGGGATGTAACAATAACCGAAATATTGTGATATCGTATTGTTAAAAGTCTCACAGTAATATCGAATTACAAGTTCCTTTGCTTAAATACATTTTGTCCAGTGTTGGGAAGTTTACTTTTAAAATGTATTTCCCTACAGATTACAGATTACAGATTACATACTCCAAAATGTAGTTTGTAACGGAATCCATGAAGTTACTTAAAGTGAGTAACGTAATCTGAATACTTTGGATTACTTGATATTGTCATGTTTTTTAGTTTAGTTCTGGTTTTAGTCCTGGTTTAGTGTTTAGTTCTGGTTTAGTCCTGGTTTAGTTCTAGTTTAGTCCTAGTTTAGTTCTGGGTTTAGTCCTGGTTTTAGTCCTGGTTTTAGTCCTAGTTTAGTTTAGTCCTAGTTTAGTTCTGGTTTTAATCCTAGTTTAGTTCTAGTTTAGTTCTGGTTTTAGTCCTGGTTTAGTCCTGGTTTTAGTCCTGGTTTTAGTCCTGGTTTAGTTCTAGTTTAGTCCTAGTTTAGTTCTGGTTTTAATCCTAGTTTAATTATTTAGTTTAGTCTTAGTTAGTTCTAGTTTAGTTCTAGTTTATTCTTAGTTTAGTCCTGGTTTTAGTCCTGGTTTTAGTCTAGTTTTAGTTCTTGTTTAGTTCTTCTAGTTTTAGTTTAGTCCTAGTTTAGTTCTGTTTAGTTCTTTAGTCTGTTTAGTCCTTTAGTTTTAGTTCTAGTTTAGTTCTGGTTTAGTCTGTTTAGTCTGTTTAGTCCTGGTTTAGTTTATCCTAGTTTTAGTTCTGGTTTAGTTCTAGTTTAGTCTAGTTTAGTTCTTAGTTTAGTTCTAGTTTAGTTCTGGTTTTAGTCCTTGTTTAGTCCTGGTTTTAGTCCTGGTTTTAGTCCTAGTTTAGTTCTAGTTTAGTCCTGGTTTAGTCTGTTTAGTCCTGTTTAGTTCTAGTTTAGTTCTAGTTTAGTTCTGGTTTTAGTCCTTGTTTAGTTCTAGTTTTAGTTCTAGTTTAGTCCTTAGTTTAGTTCTGGTTTAGTCCTGGTTTACTTCTAGTTTAGTCCTAGTTTAGTTCTAGTTTAGTTCTAGTTTAGTTCTGGTTTTAGTCCTTGTTTAGTTCCTGGTTTTAGTCCTGGTTTTAGTCCTGGTTTAGTCTTGGTTTTAGTCCTGGTTTTAGTCCTGGTTTAGCCCAAAATGTGAAAACTGAAAATCCCTCTGTGTAATCCATTTATTTCAACAAAGTAACTGTAATCCAATTACCACTGACTGAAACAGTAACTGTAACTGAATACAGTTACTCATCATTTGTACTCTGATTACTTAACTCTGGTACATGTAATCTGTTACTCCCCGACACTGATTTTGTCATAGCAGCAACAGTTTATAAATATCGGGAACTACATTTCCCATGATTCATTTCAGCACAGACAACATGAAGAAATATGTTTTTACTTGAATTCTTGGGATTATGATGGAAATAATTCACACCAAAATCTTGTCAGGGTGTTTTAAAAGTAAAAAAAGTGTCACTATCTACAATTATATCTCCAAAATATCGCAGCAGATGTCGTATATCGTGATAATATCGTACCGAGAGATTTGGATTTGGTTACATCCATATTTATTTCCAGTATTATTTGTCTGATACAGATTATGAAGAGCAGTTAACGACCAACAAATGATTAAAAGACCAAAATATTTATATATTTTTGAATGTATTTGTTATGGGTGAGTGTTTGAGTGTGTGCGTTTATGTGTATGTATGTAAATGTATGTCATTTGTATATATTAATGTAATTATGTTATTTTATTTTTATTATTATTTTCTGGTCAATATTATTATCATTATTATTATTATTTATTTATTTATTTATTTATTTTTTTTTTCCTTTTTCTTTTCAGCGTCTGTTAAGGGTGGGTGTGGGGAGGAGGGGGTTTACATGTGGCATTTGTACACTTGTATATTTTGTGGCATTTTTGTGTGGCCGTAAGACCACAATATTTAAAAAAAAAAATCAAAAATTAAATAAAATATATATGAAAAAAAAAAAGACCAAGCAGGACTCATGCACAGTGGGATTAATAGTTTGATTTTTGTACCTGAAAGTGTGAGCCGCTGGAGAACAGGTGCTGTCCGTACCCTTCTTCTCTGCTCAAGTAGAATTTGCCAATGAACTTGTCTCCGGACGGCGAGCAGAGAACTCCATGTCCATGTCTGGCCTCTTTGTAGAAGGAGCCCTCATAAAACTGAACATAAAAACAGAATCATATCGTCATAAGTTAAAGGTTGTATGGTGGATTTTTTTTGTTTTTTTTTTGTTTCAAATTGTCAGTGATAGATTATAGATACAGTCGCCTTGTAATTATGACGACCAAAAAAAAGAGAATAAAAATTCATCAACTCTGGACGTGGTGGGGCTAAACATTTGCCAATAGATAACGACACTGCCTCGTTATCTGTGAGCTGACAGGCTGTCAATCAAACTCCCTACGTTTCTAGTGTAACTGACTTGCCTGCGCCGCCGGTACGTGGTTTACGTACGACTGTCACACAGTCCACAGACGCAAGACGCACAGACGCTGTTTACTCCACCAACGCAACAGTTCTTAGCGGCTTTTTTTGACCTATATCTTCCTCGCAGTTCGCACAAAGTTTATTGCGATGGCGACAAGAATCCAGGAGCAGTTCGCCGCAAAAGAAAGTCTGTTTTTGAGGTCGTGAAAGAAGAAGACAAGGGGAAAAGCAGCGAAGCCAAACTAAGGTGATTCTTGAAGATTCATTCCAGCGATGGCGCGACTGAAGCAGACGAAGGGTCTAAAGACTGAACCACTGGTCCACAAATTACTCCTGGACAGGAAACTTCTGCTTATTATGAAAACGTACTTTATTTCCAAGAGCGACACAAACGTTTTTCAGGACACAAATGCGATATCCTATGTCTGAAAACGTCATTTTCAAGGCAAAGAAAGAGTCCACCTGCTGCTGCGTGTTGTAGTAGTAGCTAGTTCATTCGCACGGAATCTCCGCGCCCCCTCTCTGCCCGTTCCGCTCTTCTCCCTGCTCCTCACGGAATCTCCACGCACCGCTCCCCTCTCCTCTCTCTCTCCTCTCCTCTCCTTCTCCTCACTCCTCTCCCTGCTCCGTTCTTCTCCCTGCTTCTCACTTCTTGTCCGCGCACAAAATGTCCGCACACCCGCTCCCCCCGCTCCTCACTTCTCCGCCTTGCCTAACCAACACTGTATTTAGTTGTTTACAAGTCATGTGCAGCACCGGTTTCTGGCGTAAAGAGGAGGAGGGAGGAGGTGTTTCTACGTAGGAGCTGTAGGGGAGGGGAGGTGGTTTCACGCATGCGCAACATTTGAAAAAGGACAAACAGTCGCTGGATTTCTCGTTCCTTGGAAAATCCTCTATACAACCTTTAAAGATACCACAGCATGAATCACACCGTGTGCTCTTAAATGTTTACAGTAAAGATGTAACGTATCCAAATCTCTCGATACGATACTTTCACCGTATGCATCTCACGGTACGATATTTATTGCCATATTAGGTAGAGGCAAACAAAAATTGTAAATAAGCTGCTTTTTCCTTTTAAAAGCCTTGAAAAAGCCTTTGGTAGTGACGTGTCGGGGTTTTGAAGCGTGTGCTGAATAATCCAGGAAGTGTTTGGTGAAGCGCGTCGAGGTTTGTGTCGGTGACGTATGTGGTGACGTTCGAAGCCTCGTGAATCGCCCAAACCATGTGACTGTTTCAGGAAGTGCTCCGTAGATTTGGCGCACGATTCGAAACATAAGGACCAAAGAAACGTAAATATTTTGTGGTTTTGGGTTATTGTGAGTTTGGTACATTCTATTTGAGATTTTTAATTTTTAATTTTTTTTTGCGATGGAGCAAGAAAAAGAATATTTTCCCCTGTTTGGGAACATTTTGAGCTGATATCTGCTAATAAAGTTTATAGTAATAATGACATCATTAAATAAAGACCAGGTCTAACCCAGGTCTAAAACAGGATTGAACAGGACTAAATCCTGCTGCGCGCACCAGGTCTCCTCCTCTTCTGTCAATCATATTTTTAATTTGGTTCAGTAAAGACTCGGCCTTTTCATTTTCTTTTATCAGACAAAACTTCTTATGTGAAGATTTCCTCGTCTTTGTTTCTCTACAGCAAATCAAGTAATCCAAAGTAATCAGATTACATTACTGACCTTAAGTAAATTAATGGATTATGTTACAAACTACATTTTGGGGTGTGTAATCTGTAATCTGTAGGGGATTACATTTTAAAAGTAAACTTCCCAACACTGTGTACAAATAAACTTGCCTTACGTCCCCTTGCCTGTTTGTTCAGTTAGATTTGTCGTAGTTTTAGTTCAGTCAGTAGTTGTTTTTTGGCAATAGTCACATCTGTAATTGAATCAATGCATCAGTTTAATGCCATAATGTGGAAACTTTCACGTGACGTCTGCATGGAGACAAACATGTGGTCGACCAGCAGAAAACCTACACATTACACATGTAATAAAGTATTAAATGAATTGTTATACATTTGCAGTGTCGGGGAGTAACAGATTACATGTACCGGAGTTGATGTAATCAGAGTACAAATAATGAGTAACTGTATTCAGTTACAGTTACTGTTTCAGTGAGTGGGAATGGGATTACAGTTACTTTGTTGAAATAAATGGATTACACAGAGGGATTTTATTGTTTTCACATTTTGGGCTAAACCCAGGTTAAACCACTAAACCACTAAACCAAACCACTAAACCAGGACTAAACCAGGACTAAAACCAGGTCTAAACCAGGACTAAACCAGGACTAAAACCAGGTCTAAACCAGGACTAAACCAGGACTAAAACCACTAAACCAGGACGACTAAACCAGGACTAAACCTAAACCAGGACTAAACCAGGACTAAAAGACTAAACCAGGACTAAAACCAGGTCTAAACCAGGATCTAAACCAGGACTAAACCAGGACTAAACCAGGTCTAAACCAGGTCTAAACCAGGACTAAACCAGGACTAAACCAGGTCTAAACCAGGTCTAAACCAGGACTAAACCAGGACTAAACCAGGACTAAACCAGGACTAAACCAGGACTAAACCAGGACTCTAAACCAGGTCTCTAAACCAGGACTAAACCAGGTCTAAACCAGGTCTAAACCAGGACTAAACCAGGACTAAACCAGGTCTAAACCAGGTCTAAACCAGGACTAAACCAGGACTAAACCAGGACTAAACCAGGACTAAACCAGGTCTAAACCAGGACTAAACCAGGTCTAAACCAGGTCTAAACCAGGTCTAAACCAGGACTAAACCAGGTCTAAACCAGGACTAAAACCAGGTCTAAACCAGGGACTAAACCAGGACTAAACCAGGACTAAACCAGGACTAAACCAGGACTGACTAAACCAGACTAAACCAGGGTCTAAACCAGGACTAAACCAGGACTAAACCAGGACTAAACCAGGACTAAACCAGGACTAAACCAGGTCTAAACCAGGTCTAAACCAGGACTAAACCAGGACAGGTCTCAACAAAACCAGCTAGCTCATTTCCTTTATCTTCGCGCTTGCTAATACTGTTTATTTGGTTTAAATCATGAGTTTTATTGGTGTTACCTGTCCGTCCTTCCAGGTGAACCTTCCTGTACCGTGTTTCAGTCCGTTTCTAAACTCTCCCTCGTACCGGGATCCGTCTGAACGCTCCTGCACACGGGGCCCGGGCCGCTGCTCGTCCCCGCGCGGAGGAAGCATGTTCCCGCGGACACAGATGTGACTCTCGGGCTGTAGCTGGATTCTTTTATTAACTTCACACGTGATAAAATTGTGTTGTAAGAAGTTTTAAAATAAGTTTAGACGCGAGAAACGAGCGGAAAAAGTCAAAGAGTTGAGTCTCGCCGGTTGCCATGACAACGGCTCCAGCGGCGTTTACAGGTGGAATTTTGGCGCATGCGTAGAACGTGGTCCTAAACAAACAACGCAGGGAAATAACATTACATTAAACTTTATTAATGTAATGTAAAAGTGATGTAATGTACTTTTAAAATTGTCATATTAACCTACCCAAGTTTTACTTGTTGAATTGGGAGCGTGATCCTTTACATTTCATTTAACTATGCAGTGTCATATGCGCCCGCTAGAGGGCGCTGTAGGTTCTGCTGCAAATGCACACATCTTGTGGAGAAACTGGACAGCACATGTAAGCTCTATTGTGCAAAAATGTGGTAAAATATTGCTTAAATTGTTAAATAACAACTTGTTTTTGGTTCTTAGAGATAAATCAAATTGTAAAGAGTTTTGGAGAGGAAGTTTTGTCCAGGTTTTGTTTGTTCTTGTTCTCCGGTGAGTGTGCTGGGTGATATGCTGGCTTCATTTTGTTTTCTACCTTGACTTACCTACATGATGCAATGGCCACTTATTATTTGCATGATTCAGAGAATGTATAAAGAACCAACTGGAGAAATATATAACTATGTTCAAATCAGAACTTATATACAGATTTGAAGGGTTGTTGCTCTTCCACGTGTTCAATACTGCACATTGTGTAAAAAAACCTACAAGCTGCTGTAATCCAGTTAAAAGTAGTTTGAAATTATTTAAACCAGATCTGAATTTGTGCTTTGCGAAAATTGTATTAATGTTGCCCTGTTTATGCAGGTTGTTTTTTTGTTGACCTGATTTGACCTGGGACTGTTCACTGTGAGACTGGAGTCACTGGATCCAGGACCTGTGGACCTGCTGGACGCCTGGACGTCTCTTCTTGGTGGACCTGACCTTCATTGCAGAACAGCTGAATTAAGCTCTTGTGCACCAACGAAAGAAAGAAACAAAAAATCATACGACCCGTGTAGATGAGACACAAGAGTTTTTTTCAGAGCTGAACTTTTTATTTTGAAAGGACAAATTGTTGGACTAAGGACTGATTTATGTCGGGGTAAACTGGTAATATTTGGGGGAGAGTATTGACCTGGTTTAGACCTGGTTTTAGACCTGGTTTAGACTGGATTTATGTTTATTAGACCTGGTTTAGACCTGGTTTAGACTGGTTTAGACCTGGTTTAGAGTTTTACCTGGTTTTAGACCTGGTTTAGACCTGGTTTAGACCTGGTTTAGTTTAGACCTGGTTTAGACCTGGTTTTTAGACCTGGTTTAGACCTGGTTTTACCTGGTTTACCTGGTTTAGACCTGGTTTTAGACCTGGTTTAGACCTGGTTTAGACCTGGTTTTACTGGTAGACCTGGTTTAGACCTGGTTTTAGACCTGGTTTACACCTGGTTTAGACCTGGTTTTAGTCCTGGTTTTAGACCTGGTTTAGACCTGGTTTAGTCCTGGTTTTAGACCTGGTTTAGACCTGGTTTAGACCTGGTTTAGACCTGGTTTTAGACCTGTTTAGACCTGGTTTAGACCTGGTTTTACCTGGTTTAGACCTGGTTTAGACCTGGTTTTACCTGGTTTTAGACCTGGTTTAGACCTGGTTTAGACCTGGTTTAGACCTGGTTTAGACCTGGTTTTAGTCCTGGTTTAGACCTGGTTTAGTCCTGGTTTTAGACCTGGTTTAGACCTGGTTTAGACCTGGTTTGGACCTGGTTTTAGTCCTGGTTTTAGACCTGGTTTTAGACCTGGTTTTAGACCTGGTTTAGACCTGGTTTTAGACCTGGTTTAGACCTGGTTTAGACCTGGTTTAGATAAAACCATAAAAACACTTTATGAAGCTTGGATCATGGTCCAAAGTTTGATTTGAAGTGTTTCTTTCGTTGGAGCCTCAGGCAGAACACAAACACGTACGAGAGAACTGCACTTACATTATAACAAACATAAAACATAAATACTTAACGGGACTAAAAGGAGCGGCTGGATCTTCAGCTCAAAGGGAATTTACAGAACAGAATAAACAGGGATCAACAAAGGGTTTAAAGCGGATCAAACCTGTCAGAACCGTCGCCTTCTGTGTTAGAATGAATCACTGCTCCCTGGAAACACAAAGTTAAAACCAAACTTACATTTTATATGGACACAGATCCGTTTTACCAGACCAACTTTATTTATAAAGCACTTTAAAAACTTTACAGTTCGCCAAAGTGCTGTACACAAACACAGGACAGACAATAGAAGAAAATATATGATACACACACAATACAAGCACTAAAAACATAAAAAACAGCAAAATACTCGACAAGAAATATACATGTCACTTATTAAAAGCCAGTGAAAAAAGAGGTTCAGACTCGGCCTCTAATCACAACTGGTTCCAGAGCCGAGGGGCAGAAACAGAAAACGCACGGTCCCCACGAACCACTAAACCAGGACTAAACCAGGACTAAACCAGGTCTAAACCAGGACTAAACCAGGACTAAACCAGGTCTAAACCAGGACTAAACCAGGACTAAACCAGGTCTAAACCAGGACTAAACCAGGTCTAAACCAGGACTCTAAACCAGGACTAAACCAGGACTAAACCAGGTCTAAACCAGGTCTAAAACCAGGTCTAAACCAGGACTAAAACCAGGTCTAAACCAGGTCTAAACCAGGACTAAAACCAAGACTAAAACCAGGTCTAAACCAGGACTAAAACCAGGTCTAAACCAGGACTAAAACCAGGTCTAAACCAGGTCTAAACCAGGACTAAAACCAAGACTAAAACCAGGTCTAAACCAGGACTAAACCAGGTCTAAAACCAGGACTAAACCAGGTCTAAACCAGGACTAAACCAAGGACTAAACCAGGTCTAAACCAGGACTAAACCAGGACTAAACCAGGACTAAACCAGGTCTAAACCAGGGTCTTCTAAACCAGGTCTAAACCAGGACTAAAACCAGGTCTAAACCAGGTACTAAACCAGGACTAAACCAGGACTAAACCAGGTCTAAACCAGGTCTAAAACCAGGTCTAAAACCAGGACTAAAACCAGGACTAAACCAGGACTAAACCAGGACTAAACCAGGACTAAACCAGGACTAAACCAGGAACTAAAACCAGGACTAAAACCAGGACTAAACCAGGTCTAAACCAGGACTAAACCAGGACTAAACCAGGACTAAACCAGGACTAAAACCAAAACTAAACCAGGACTAAAACCAGGACTAAACCAGGTCTAAACCAGGTCTAAACCAGGACTAAACCAAGGACTAAAACCAGGTCTAAACCAGGACTAAACCAGGACTAAACCAGGACTAAAACCAGGACTAAACCAGGACTAAAACCAGAACTAAACCAGGACTAAAACCAGGACTAAACCAGGACTAAACCAGGTCTAAACCAGGTCTAAACCAGGACTAAAACCAAGACTAAAACCAAGACTAAAACCAGGTCTAAACCAGATCTAAACCAGGACTAAACCAGGACTAAACCAGAACTAAACCAGGTCTAAACCAGGACTAAAACCAGGACTAAAGCAGGACTAAACCAGGTCTAAATCAGAGCCAATTTGAAAAAAACAAACATAAATTTTCAGGATGTGGTTGGTTACATTCATGTAGTTTTAAAAAACATGACAATATCAAGTAATCCAAAGTAATCAGATTACATTACTCACTTTAAGTAATTTAACAGATTACGTTACAAACTACATTTTGGGGTATGTAATCTGTAATCTGTAGGGGATTACATTTTAAAACTGTTTTTTAACACTGTTTAGGTCACACTGTGGAAAATTACAGCCAACGGCATCATGTCCCTCCTCCAGGACAAGGACGAGTCGGGTCTGTGGGGACGCAAGCCTCCCCCCTAAACTGCAACCAACTCCAAAAAAGTAAAAATAAATAAATAAACTAACAAATAAATAAATAAGTAAAACATTTAGCATTGCCCAGGTGCTCAAAAATGACCATGAGGGAAAAAAATAAAATAATAAATAAATAAATAAATAAATGAATAGTAATAATAATAAAATAATTCAATAAATAAAAATCTGTCCAGTAAAAAAATAATAAAATAAATCCAATAAATAAAAATCAATCCCATAAAATATAATCCAATAAATCTAATAAATAAAAATAAATCCAATAAAAAAAATAAAACAATAATTCAATAAATAAAAATAAATCAAATAAAAAAATTATAAAATTAAATAAAACCAATAAAATAAAATCCAATAAAATAAAATAAAACAAAACAAAAACACAATAACACAAAACGACAATCCCAGAGATCATGTACTGACCCACAAGTGAGTCAAGAACACTAAAAACGCAAAAAAGCCTGTCCAAAATTTAAGATATAAACATTTAAATCTATCAGAAAATGACTTAAAAGTGGAGAAATGATCTTGCTGCATGGACAGATCCTTTTACTCAAAATAAATAAATCAGTCTCAGAACTAGTGAGTCGATAATAAACCTAAAAACAAGATATAAGTTCATAATCTTGGCCACATCAGAGAAATTTGCAGTGAAAGGAAATTTTTTATTTTTTATAGACCAAACCAAGAACCAAACCAACCGGACGTGTTCCAGTTTTTACTAAATCTGAAACCTGCTCTAAACTCTGAGTTGTGTACGTTTGGTGCGTTCAATTCTTTATCACTTTTTTATCACATTGTTCCTAAACGACTGAGCCAAGGTTCAAGTTTCCTCATCCTCCCTCTTCCTCAGAAACGGAACTTAAACCTAAACCTGCGCTTTCGTTTCTGTCCTAAATAAACAAACTGCAGCGGATGTGTGTGTGTTTGTGTGTGTGTGTGTGTGTGTGTGTGTGTGTGTGTGTGTGTGTGTGTGTGTGTGTGTTTGTGCGTGTGTTCGTGCGCACTGCAAAAAACTAAACCTAGTCAAGTGAAGATGACTTGAATTAAGAAAGTTCTGTCATGATTTGAGTAAATTTCACTCGATCTGGCAGTGGAACAAGACTTTCATAAACCGTATTAAAGTTAGTTTCACGTCAGACGTTGGATTTTCATTTACGTAACAACAGATTTATAGATATGGAGATGTTTTTTTGTTGTCTGTGTCCGGGTTGCTCCATCAGGGCGCGAGGAGCTGGTTAGGGACCGTCAATAAATTACAATTACCCTGAGTGGAGTTTGCTAAAAAAAAAAAAAAAAAACTCAAATCAAATAAAAATTTTATTTAAAAAAAAGGGATTGTGCATGTATATTTTATAAAACATTTGTTATTTTTATGTATTTTGAGGGTTAATTATTGAATGCATTTTTTCAATATCTTCCAGGTCAAGTAACCTAAAAACTCCAACCAAGTTCTTGTAGTTGTCCTACTTCACCTACGTCATCTACCCTAGAAGCTATTGAAAAAAATCACAGATTTTCAAGTTTAAAAATTCCTAAAAATTCCACAAAAGGTTAAATTGGAAAACCAAAAGGTGTGTGTGACGCCTGAGGAGTAGGACGACTGTAATTAGTGACGGGCGAGTGGAGCCTCGTGAAGCGTCGACACCTCAGTCGTAATATCGTCTCAAATGTTTGGACGTGTCTGAGGCCTCGGAGAAACACTGACCTCTAGTGGACAAATTTAACCAGGTGCAGGTGTCTCAGCATCGATGACGTGTTGTTAGTGTAAGACTAAAACAACTGCACCTAACAACAACAATAATAATGATAATTTAAAATAATATGTAAAGATCAGAGGTGCTCAATACGTCGATCGTGATCTACCAGTCGATCGCCAAGGTCGTGTGGGTAGATCGCCGTGTCTCGTCCCGGACTCGATCGCGTTTGGACTCGGTCTTGTCTCTCACTCTCTCTCTAAACCAGGTCTAAACCCGGGTCTAAAACCAGAACTAAAACCAAGTCCAAACCTGATCTAAACCAGGACTAAACCAGGACTAAACCAGGACTAAACCAGGTCTAAACTATGTGTCAAACCGGATTTAACAGGACTAAATCCTGCTGTGTGGACGTGTTTCCTCATCTTTTATCAATAATATTTTTAATTTGGTTCAGTAAAGTCTGGACTTTTTATTTTCTTTTTATCAGATAAAACTTCCTCGTCTTTGTTTCTCTACAGGAAATCAAGTAATCCAAAGTAATCAGATTACATTACTCACTTTAAGTAATTTAATGGATTCTGTTACAAACTACATTTTGGGGTGTGTAATCTGTAATCTGTAGGGGATTACATTTTAAAAGTAAACTTGTCTGCTTGTCGTTTTGAGTTTTACTTCCTGTCTTGATTGTTTGCTCCGCCCTGATCTCATCTTGTCTCAGTTTAGTGTCGAGTTTTGGATTTTTTTGGATTTATGGATTTGTTATTAAATACTTTAAAGTGGTCGTGCATTTTGGGTCCTCCCTCTGTTTCTACGTGATGTTACTTGATCTGGAAGATACTGAAAAAAAAATGCACAAACTAATTAACCCTCAAAATACATAAAAATAACAAATATTTTATAAAACATACATGCACAATACCTTTTTTAAATTTATTTTTATATGATTCCTTTTTTTTTTTTTTTTTTTTTTTTTTTAGCAAACTCCATTCAGTGCAATTGTAATTTATTGACGGTCCCTAAGCGGCGTTATCTCCATATCTGTAGTTACGTAAATGAACATAAAATCGTCTGACGTGACACTAACTTTAACACGTTGTTTTTTTTTTTTTGGTTTTTTTTTTGTTCTTAAAATATGAAAATACATCTGGCCGCACCTGCTGCATGTCCTTAATTTAAGTCATTTTAATTTAGTTAGTTTTGGTCCAGTGTGTGCGTGTGTGCGGGCGTGCGTGCATATATGTGTGAGCGTACATGTATGCGTGTTTGTGCGAATGCGTGTGCGTGCGTGTATGTGTGTGTGCGTGCATGTGCGTGTGTTTGTACGTGTTTTTGTGCGTGCATGTGTGCGTGTGTTTGTACGTGTTTGTGTGCGTGCATGTGTGAGTGTGTTTGTACGCGTTTTTGTGCGTGCATATATGTGTGTGTGTGTGTGTGTGTTTCTGCGTGCGTGCATGTGCGTGTGTTTGTGTTCGTGCGTGTCTTTGTGCATGTGCGTGTGTTCGGTTGTGTGTTTACGTGCTTGTGCGTGTGAGTGTGCGTTCGTACATGTGCTCGTGCGTGTTCGTGTTCGTGCGCGTGTTCGTGTCTGTAAGTTTCGATGTCGCCCAAACGCGACCCTAAAGGGAAAACGAAACTTGGTGAGTTCAGGAAGCACGTGCGGCGCTGTGATTGGTCCAGGCTCGGGGTTTAAATGGCACGAGCTCGCATCTTTACATCATCCTTGACTGAGCGCGCGACACCGACACCGACACAGTCCAGGTATTTAACGAAAAACTTCTGCTCTGATTCCTGTTCGTAACTTTAGATTTTCATACGATGTGTTTTTTTTAAATGTCTGATGTTGAGTTTGTGATGTTTGGTGATAATGAAACTGCGGCACGAGCGCGGAACGAAGGAAAACAGTTTTGTACTTTTTTTGTCATGACGAACATGAGTCAGTACAGTCACATTTTCTTCGTGTTTTGGTCGTTTTTTAAGCAGCTTTTCTGGATTTTACCGAAACAAATCACGGTTCTGTATTTGGGAATTTAACTTTTCAATGTTTCGTGTCGAAGTCGTCTGAGTTTAATCTGAGTTTAGGTCAAATTGGTCAAAAATAGGGACATTTCTTATGTAAAAGTGGCAGGTTAATGACCAAAATAACTGTGAAGATTCTGAACTATTGTATATGGACTAAACCAGGACTAAACCAGGACTAAACCAGGACTAAACCAGGACTAAACCAGAACTGAACCAAGACTAAAGCAGGACTAAACCAGAACTGAACCAAGACTAAACCAGAACTAAACCAGGTCTAAACCAGGACTAAACCAGGACTAAACCAGAACTGAACCAGGACTAAACCAGAACTGAACCAGAACTGAACCAGGACTAAACCAGGACTAAACCAGGACTAAACCAGGACTAAACCAGAACTGAACCAGGACTAAACCAGGACTAAACCAGAACTGAACCAAGACTAAACCAGAACTGAACCAAGACTAAACCAGGACTAAACCAGAACTGAACCAAGACTAAACCAGAACTGAACCAGACTAAACCAGGACTAAACCAGGACTAAACCAGGACTAAACCAGGACTAAACCAGAACTGAACCAAGACTAAACCAGGTCTAAACCAGAACTGAACCAGGACTAAACCAGGACTAAAGCAGGACTAAACCAGAACTGAACCAAGACTAAACCAGGACTAAACCAGAACTGAACCAAGACTAAACCAGAACTGAACCAAGACTAAACCAGGACTAAACCAGGACTAAACCAGGACTAAACCAGAACTGAACCAAGACTAAACCAGGTCTAAACCAGAACTGAACCAAGACTAAACCAGGTCTAAACCAGGTCGAAACCAGGACTAAACCAGGACTAAACCAGGACTAAACCAGAACTGAACCAAGACTAAACCAGGTCTAAACCAGGTCTAAACCAGAACTAAACCAGGACTAAACCAGGACTAAACCAGGGACTAAACCAGGACTAAACCAGGTCTAAACCAGGACTAAACCAGGACTAAACCAGGACTAAACCAGGACTAAACCAGGTCTAAACCAGAACTGAACCAAGACTAAACCAGGTCTAAACCAGGTCTAAACCAGGACTAAACCAGGACTAAACCAGGACTAAACCAGGTCTAAACCAGAACTGAACCAAGACTAAACCAGGTCTAAACCAGGTCTAAACCAGAACTAAACCAGGTCTAAACCAGGACTAAACCAGGACTAAACCAGGTCTAAACCAGAACTGAACCAAGACTAAACCAGGAACTGAACCAAGACTAAACCAGGTCTAAACCAGGTCTAAACCAGGACTAAACCAGGACTAAACCAGGTCTAAACCAGGTCTAAACCAGGTCTAAACCAGGACTAAACCAGGTCTAAACCAGAACTAAACCAAGACTAAACCAGGTCTAAACCAGGTCTAAACCAGAACTAAACCAGGTCTAAACCAGGACTAAACCAGGACTAAACCAGGACTAAACCAGGTCTAAACCAGAACTGAACCAAGACTAAACCAGAACTGAACCAAGACTAAACCAGGTCTAAACCAGGTCTAAACCAGGACTAAACCAGGACTAAACCAGGTCTAAACCAGGTCTAAACCAGGTCTAAACCAGGACTAAACCAGGTCTAAACCAGAACTGAACCAAGACTAAACCAGGTCTAAACCAGGTCTAAACCAGGTCTAAACCAGGTCTAAACCAAGACTAAACCAGGACTAAACCAGAACTAAACCAGGACTAAACCAGAACTGAACCAGGACTAAACCAGGTCTAAACCAGAACTGAACCAGGACTAAACCAGGACTAAACCAGAACTGAACCAGGACTAAACCAGGACTAAACCAGGTCTAAACCAGGTCTAAACCAGGAACTAAACCAGGTCTAAACCAGGACTAAACCAGGACTAAACCAGGTCTAAACCAGAACTGAACCAGGACTAAACCAGAACTAAACCAAACTAAACCAGGTCTAAACCAGGACTAAACCAGGACTAAACCAGGTCTAAACCAGGTCTAAACCAGGTCTAAACCAGGACTAAACCAGGACTAAACCAGGTCTAAACCAGAACTGAACCAAGACTAAACCAGGTCTAAACCAGGTCTAAACCAGGAACTAAAACCAGGTCTAAACCAGGACTAAACCAGGAACTAAACCAGGTCTAAACCAGAACTGAACCAGGACTAAACCAGGACTGAAACCAGGACTAAAACCAGGACTAAACCAGGTCTAAACCAGGACTAAACCAGACTAAACCAGGTCTAAACCAGGAACTAAACCAGGACTCTAAACCAGGTCTAAACCAGGTCTAAACCAGGACTAAACCAGGACTAAACCAGGACTAAACCAGGTCTAAACCAGAACTGAACCAAGACTAAACCAGGTCTAAACCAGGTCTAAACCAGAACTGAACCAGGACTAAACCAGGTCTAAACCAGGTATAAACCAGGTCTAAACCAGGTCTAAACCAGAACTAAACCAGGACTGAACCAGGACTAAACCAGGACTAAACCAGAACTAAACCAGGACTAAACCAGTACTATACTAGGACTAAACCAGGTCTAAACCAAAACTGAACCAGGACTAAACCAGAACTGAACCAGGACTAAACCAGGTCTAAACCAGAACTAAACCAGAACTGAACCAGGACTAAACCAGGACTAAAACATTCTTGTAATTATAAACCACTTTATTTGTATTTGAGTAACTGCCTCCAAATCTCCATATTTACACAGACGCTGGGACACACCCAGACCAGACTCACACCTGGATTTGTTATGAATATTTGTAATAGTTTTACAGATAAACACTCAGGTCATCAGGTCATCAGGTCATCAGGTCATCAGGTCTCCACGCCCAAAACCAAAAACCACATCGTTCGATCACATTAGATTTTTCCATGACGCAGGTGAAACGACGGAGCTCATTTACAAACAAAACGACTTTTTTTTTTCACCTCAAAATAACTCTTTAGTCTTTAGTTTCTTTTTTCCTTGTGGACGGAGCAGACTTGTCCCCCGTTTGTCCCTGAACTCACAGACTTGTCCCCGTTTGTCCCTGAACTCGCAGACTTGTCCCCATTTGTCACCTCGGTCTTTTCTGTTTCCTCAGATTCCAACAAATGGACGATGAGCGACAAAGCAAAGAAGAAAAACCGGTAAGATTCTACTGCAGACAGTTCACAGCACCATCCACAAGGGGTCGCCAAAGGGGAGAGGAGGAGGGGTCTGGAGGACTAAAGGGAGAGTAAGAGGGGAGGAGGGTCTGGAGGACTAAAGGGGAGAGTGAGGGGGGAGGAGGAGGGGTCTGGAGGACTAAAGGGGAAAGTGAGGAGAGGAGGAGGAGGGGTCTGGAGGACTAAAGAGGGGAGTGAGGGGGAGGAGGAGGGGTCTGGAGGACTAAAGGGGAGAGTGAGGAAGAGGAGGAGGAGAGGTCTGGAAGACTAAAGGGGAGAGTGAGGGGAGAGGAGGAGGAGGGGTCTGGAGGACTAAAGGGGAGAGTGAGGAGGAGGAGGGGTCTGAAGGACTAAAGGGGAGAGTGAGGAAGAGGAGGAGGGGTCTGGAGGACTAAAGGGGAGAGTGAGGGGAGAGGAGGGGTCTGGAGGACTAAAGGGGGGAGTGAGGGGGAGGAGTGGTCTCGAGGACTAAAGGGGGGAGTGAGGGGGAGGAGGGGTCTGGAGGACTAAAGGGGAGACTGAGAGGGGAGGAGGGGTCAACACAAAATGCAAGGATAGATTAAATAAAACTCTGATAAAAAAGGGTCATAAATGTGGGTGTAATCTGTAATGTAGTGTATGAATGTGTAACCTGACTGCCTCCCTTTTTTTTAAGTTACTAACTTATTATTTACTTACTTATGTAATCTATTTGTATGTATACAGCGATACATGTGTATATGTATGTGTGTATGTATGTATATATATATATATATATATATATATATATATATGTGTGTGTGTTATTTATTGTATTATTGTTTAGTTATTTAGTTAATTTTAGTTTTTCTGTTTGTATTTAGTTTTTTTTTTCTTTTATCTACTTTCTACATTTATATTAATTTTGTGTTGGGGGGAAAAAAAGAAAAAGGGCATATACACTGTGATTTATGTGGACAAAAAAAAGAGCACTGAATAAATTGCAAATCAAAAAAAAAAAAAAAGGGGGGGGGTCATAAGAACATTAGTGACGAGCCAATCACCCACAGTGTCTCAGTGTCTCAGTGTCTCAGTGTGTCTCAGTGTCTCAGTGTGTCTCAGTGTGTCTCAGTGTGTCTCAGTGTCTCAGTGTCTCAGTGTGTCTCAGTGTCTCAGTGTCTCAGTGTGTCTCAGTGTGTCTCAGTGTGTCTCAGTGTGTCTCAGTGTGTCTCAGTGTGTCTCTGTGTGTCTCAGTGTGTCTGTGTGTGTCTCAGTGTGTCTCAGTGTGTCTCAGTGTGTCTCAGTGTGTCTCAGTGTGTCTCAGTGTGTCTCAGTGTGTCTCTGTGCGTCTCCGTGTCTCAGTGTGTCTCAGTGTGTCTCTGTGCGTCTCAGTGCGTCTCAGTGTCTCTCAGTGTCTCAGTGTGTCTCAGTGCGTCTCAGTGTCTCAGTGTGTCTCAGTGTGTCTCAGTGTGTCTCAGTGTGTCTCAGTGTGTCTCAGTGCGTCTCAGTGTCTCTCAGTGTCTCAGTGTGTCTCAGTGTGTCTCAGTGTGTCTCAGTGCGTCTCAGTGTCTCAGTGTGTCTCAGTGTGTCTCGGTTTGTGTCGGTTTGTCTCCGTGTGTCTCAGTGTGTCTCAGTGTCTCAGTGTGTCTCAGTGCGTCTCAGTGTGTCTCAGTGTGTCTCAGTGTGTCTCAGTGTGTCTCAGTGTGTCTCAGTGTCTCTCAGTGTCTCTCAGTGCGTCTCAGTGTCTCAGTGTGTCTCAGTGTGTCTCAGTGTGTCTCAGTGTCTCTCAGTGTCTCAGTGTGTCTCAGTGTGTCTCAGTGTGTCTCTCAGTGTCTCCGTGTCTCCGTGTGTGTCTCATGTGTCTCAGTGTGTCTCAGTGTGTCTCAGTGCGTCTCAGTGTCTCTCAGTGTCTCAGTGTGTCTCAGTGCGTCTCAGTGTCTCAGTGTGTGTCTCAGTGTGTCTCGGTTTGTGTCGGTTTGTCTCCGTGTGTCTCAGTGTGTCTCAGTGCGTCTCAGTGTCTCAGTGTGTCTCAGTGTGTCTCGGTTTGTGTCGGTTTGTCTCCGTGTGTCTCAGTGTGTCTCAGTGCGTCTCAGTGCGTCTCAATGCGTCTCAGTGTGTCTCAGTGTCTCTCAGTGCGTCTCCGTGCGTCTCCGTGTGTCTCAGTGTGTCTCAGTGCGTCTCAGTGCGTCTCAGTGTGTCTCAGTGTCTCACTGTGGTCTTTTCTTCTTCTGTGTCCAGGCGTCCCTTCGGAGCGACTGCCCCTCCTTTTATCGACTATCTCAAAGACATTCTGCGTCGATATCCAGACGGCGGACAGATCCTCAAGGTACCACGTAAACTAGAACTGACACCAGTCACCATACGAACATTTCAAACTTTATTTCAGCGCTCAATACTGATTCTGATCCCGCGATGAAAAGAAAAAACAAGAATAACAGAAAGAAAAGAAAAAAAAGAAAAATGCATTTAGAATTATGCTTTAAGTGACTAAAAATGTTTATTAAAAATGGCGAATTTAAATTATAAATTGGCCAAAATATCAAAAAAGGGGCTTAGTGGTTTGGTTATGCTGCACTACCACAGGAAGGTTTTGTTGTTTTGTATTTGTTGTGGGTGTTGCTCTATGTTTTTTTTTATTTTGTTTTATGCTGATTATTGTATTTTGTTAAATCTTATATTCTGTTGTCTTTATTTAAAAAAAAAAAATTTAAATGAATAAAAACAAAACAAAAAATAAAAATAAATAAAAATAAAAAATAAAAATAAATATAAACAACACAAAAAAATAAAAATAAATAAAAACAAAAAATAAAAAAAATAAATAAAAACAATAAATAAATAAATTAAAACAATAAATAAAAATAAAACAAAAAATAAATAAAAAATAAATAAACGCACTTTTTCATTTCACATTTTGCAGTACTACAAAACAAAACAAAACATAAACTACAACCTCATGGATCATGACCGAAAGGGTTTAGGCTGAAGTAAAAAGAAATCCAAATTTAATGTATAGTTCATTCATTCCAGAGCTCTAGATCTTTCAAAACATAACACTTTATACTCTTTTTTTTTTTTTTAATGCTTCTACTGTGTTTTTAAAAATCATCACTCAGATTGTTCCATAAACTAATGAACCCTCGATCAGAAATACAATCACTTTTTCATTTTTTTTCATTAATGGTCGCACAAACCAACAATAATAACCAAGGAGGCACAAAATTAATTGTCCACGAACGCACCAAAACAAAAGGCGATGTCAAAGAAAAGCGTGAGTTTAGTTCATAATCGTGGTTTATTTGACAAATTATGAAACACAAATGAATAAGCAATTTATAAAAGGAAAAAAGAAAGAATACAGCGACGTCTAGATGAAGAAAACCGGGACATTTTCTGAGTTTTCCCAGATTTTGTCAGAGTTACTTTCACCAAAGGAAGTCGTCCGCAAGTTTCCAAACGTCTGTCGGTTCTGTGACGTCAGCGTGTCTCTTTGTCTCTCATTTAACCCGATCAAATTTTGTTTTGTGTTCACCAGGAGCTGATTCAAAATGCTGATGACGCCAGCGCGACGGAGGTCATTTTCATTCATGACAACAGGAGCTACGGGACCGACGACCTCTGGACCCAAGGCCTGGCCAAGTTCCAAGGTGAGCGTGAACACAGACGGGTTTAAAGCTTTTAGACTTAAACTTTATTCACCCACAAGGGAAATTATTACAGCACCTCACACACCACAATAAACTATAATAATAAAGGGAAAAATATAAATAACAATAACCGAAATATCGTGATATCGTATCGTCAAAAGTCTCACAAGAACACTGTGGCTTAGAATAAATCAAATTACAACACTCTTCGCTTCCATTTATAGTTGTAGTGCAGCAATACGGCTCAAAAACAGAGGGAACTACATAGACCATGATCCTTTGCTCAGTTTAAATGCAGACGAATGTTTTCTGTGCACTAGAGGGCGCTCTGTCATTGAATGGTCTATTTTTGAACTTTTTTCACAAAGAAACGGCACCGGACGATGAGACGCAAAAAAAAAAAACTATCTGAGACACTAAATTGTTAGGACTGAACCAGGACTGAACCAGGACTGAACCAGGTCTAAACCAGGACTAAAACAGGACTAAACCAGGTCTAAATCAGGACTTAACCAGGACTAAACCAGGACTAAATCAGGACTAAACCAGGACTGAACCAGGACTAAACCAGGTATAAACAAGGACTAAAACAGGACTAAACCAGGACTAAATCAGGACTGAACCAGGACTGAACCAGGACTAAAACAGGACTAAACCAGGTCTAAACCAGGACTAAAACAGGACTAAACCAGGTCTAAATCAGGACTTAACCAGGACTAAACCAGGACTAAATCAGGACTAAACCAGGTCTAAATCAGGACTTAACCAGGACTAAACCAGGACTGAACCAGGACTGAACCAGGTCTAAACCAGGTCTAAACCAGGACTAAAACAGGACTAAACCAGGTCTAAATCAGGACTTAACCAGGACTAAACCAGGACTAAATCAGGACTTAACCAGGACTGAACCAGGACTAAACCAGGTATAAACAAGGACTAAAACAGGACTAAACCAGGACTAAATCAGGACTGAACCAGGACTGAACCAGGACTAAAACAGGACTAAACTAGGTCTGAACCAGGACTAAACCAGGTTTAAACCAAGACTAAAACAGGACTAAATCAGGACTGAACCAGGACTAAACCAGGACTAAACCAGGTCTAAACCAGGACTAAACCAGGACTGAACCGTTTTCAGTCCTGGCCTCAAACACGATCTCAGTCTCAGGTTTTGGAGACAAATAATGAAAAAATTGTTTTTTTATTTATTTTTTTATTTTTGGTTTTATATTGAAAAACGAATGAACGAATGACACAAGGAATAATGGCAATAATAAATTCTAAATAAGCACCAAAACACGCAGGAGAGTGACGTCAAATAAGCAATATATAAATGTAAATGTACAAGTAAAAATAAACGAAGTAATAAAAATACAAATTTCAGCAACATCCAGGGTGCCCCAAAAAATCTGACATAATTTTAAAAGCTGTTGTCTTGAAAGTCCGGCTCAGTGAAATTGAACATCTTTAGTTTATTACGGGACTTTTTTTTTTCCAGTTTTTCTAAATGTTGCACTGAAGCTGCTCAGTGTTGGGTGAGTGTGTGCGAGCAGATTCCAAAACACTAAATGATTTCACTTCGGGAGTGAACGGCTCAACCTGAAAAAGAACAAAAATAAAACATTACATTTAAAATCTTGATTTGTTTCTAAACATTCTGTGAAAATTTAAGATTATTTCAACAAGAACTGCAAAAATTATTGGGCCTATGAAATGATGTCAAACTTTTTACCCTGTTCCGCAAGCCTCAGTTGTTGTAGGGAGTATTATCTGTTACATAATGGTGAGTTGTTGTACAGTTGTAGGGAGTATTATCTGTTACATAAGGGTGAGTTGTTGTACAGTTGTAGGGAGTATTATCTGTCACATAAGGGTGAGTTGTTGTACAGTTGTAGGGAGTATTATCTGTTACATAAGGGTGAGTTGTTGTACAGTTGTAGGGAGTATTATCTGTTACATAAGGGTGAGTTGTTGTACAGTTGTAGGGAGTATTATCTGTTACATAAGGGTGAGTTGTTGTACAGTTGTAGGGAGTATTATCTGTCACATAATGGTGAGTTGTTGTACAGTTGTAGGGAGTATTATCTGTTACATAAGGGTGAGTTGTTGTACAGTTGTAGGGAGTATTATCTGTTACATAAGGGTGAGTTGTTGTACAGTTGTAGGGAGTATTATCTGTTACATAAGGGTGAGTTGTTGTACAGTTGTAGGGAGTATTATCTGTTACATAAGGGTGAGTTGTTGTACAGTTGTAGGGAGTATTATCTGTTACATAAGGGTGAGTTGTTGTACAGTTGTAGGGAGTATTATCTGTTACATAATGGTGAGTTGTTGTACAGTTGTAGGGAGTATTATCTGTTACATAAAGGGTGAGTTGTTGTACAGTTGTAGGGAGTATTATCTGTTACATAATGGTGAGTTGTTGTACAGTTGTAGGGAGTATTATCTGTTACATAAAGGTGAGTTGTCGTACAGTTGTAGGGAGTATTATCTGTTACATAAGGGTGAGTTGTTGTACAGTTGTAGGGAGTATTATCTGTTACATAAGGGTGAGTTGTTGTACAGTTGTAGGGAGTATTATCTGTTACATAATGGTGAGTTGTTGTACAGTTGTAGGGAGTATTATCTGTTACATAATGGTGAGTTGTTGTACAGTTGTAGGGAGTATTATCTGTTACATAAAGGGTGAGTTGTTGTACAGTTGTAGGGAGTATTATCTGTTACATAAGCCTGAGTTCTTCGTACAGTTGTAGGGAGTATTATCTGTTACATAAGGGTGATTTGTCGTACAGTTGTAGGGAGTATTATCTGAGTTGTTTTGCAGTTGTAGGGAGTATTATCTGTTTCATAAGCCTGAGTTATTGTAAAGTTGTATGGAGTATTATCTGAGTTGTTGTACAGTTGTAGGAGTATTATTGTAGAGTGAGTTGTATTATCTGTCACATAAGCCTGAGGTGTTGTACAGTTGTAGGGAGTATTATCTCTTTGGGGGTCCGTCACCTGTTTGTTTCTATGGATACGTCATTGCTTCTACCTGGAATGTTCCGCAGTGTGACATTAAACAGCTCTTTTTTTCTTTTTCTTTTTTTTTTAATAACACAAGTTTTACAGCTTAAAAAAAAAAAAACTAGATAAAAACATTGTGACTGTGAGCAGGGTCGCCTCTCCACAGATCTGACCTGTAACTTTGTCTGGTCTGGTCTTTATGAAGCTGGAAAGGTTTAATGCCACACTGTGAAACATTCCAGACCAAACAATAACATCACCATGGAGAGAAAAAAAACAAACAAAAAAGCATTTGACAGACACTCCACCAGAAAAGTTACACAATGGAGCTTTGAAGTAAATAAACACAGACTCATTTCCGTTTGTGTTCAGGTCCAGCCCTGTACGCCTACAACAACGCCCAGTTCACGGACGAGGACTGGGCAGGAATCCAGAACGTGGCCCGGAGCGTCAAACGTGATGATCCCAATAAAGTGGGACGATTTGGGCTCGGGTTCAACTCCGTGTACCACATCACAGGTAACTGCCCCAGGACCCGGACTCTGTTTAACACACTGCACACGTCTCTGATCCCGTCAACATTTAAAAACACTTATATCAGGTTATTCATCTTGTTTTCAGATTTATTATTTACTTACGAGTTCTAGTCCAGAGTCAGTTTATTTTAAATTTAGCACACAGGTGTCAAACATACGGCCTGGGGGCCGGATCCGGCCCTCCAAGACCTGTAATCTGGCCCTCGGCTGATTTTCTACTAAAATATTTTAATCCTATTTTCTATTAAAATATTGGTAATTTTCTGTTCCGCTTAGCAGAGCAGCGTCTCTGTACGTGGCCCCTCCCACCAGAGCAGCACAAATGAAGACTTGTCTCTTTCCAAACGCTCTTAAAGGACGATCGTTTTGACTGTTGACCGTGACACCCTCATCAGAAAAATGTTAAAAATAAGAAAAGTGGAGCCGAGTGCAGGATTTTCCTAGAAAAATTGACTTATTCCTGTTTACAAACAAGTTAATGTTAAAACATTGTGTTGAAATTGCTTTTTTTTTCATAATATTATAATATTTTGTAAAAGAAAGAGTTCATCAATTAAAAAAGATTTCTGTAATACACTTGCGTTTCTCTGCACAAATATTTGAACTTATTGCTTTTTTTGGAGTATATATGCCATGAGTTTTCTGATCCGGCCCCTTTGGGATCAAAGTAGGTTGTATACGGCCCCCGGACCAAAATGAGTTTGACACCCCTGGTTTAGACTGTGTAAAAGAAGTGGACTAATTAGACCTCGTCCACACTAGTTCGTATTTGAGTTGTTTTCGTTGTGGGTGCAGAGTTCGTTCACACTAATCCGACTGAAAATGGCTCCAGAGACGGAACGATCTGGTGCCTCCAGCTCAGAATTCATGTTTGTACAGATCTGATCCGGCACAGTGTGGACGCCTGAAAACACTGATACTCTGATGTAGGTCTGTGCGCCGCCAAGTCATTCACCGACAAAACACTAAGAGGCGAGAATATATGTCCATTTCTATAAACCAGAGGTGTCAAACTCATTTTGTTCCGGGGGTCGTGTCCAACCGACTTTGATCCAAAGTGTCCGGATCAGAAAACTCATGTCATATAAACCCCAAAAATAACAATAAGTTCAAATATTTGTGCAGAGAAACACAAATCTATTACAGAAATCTTTTTTAATTGATGAACTCTTTCTTTTACAAAATATTATAATATTATGAACAACCTAAAACTTCAAGAAAAATATAATTTCAACAGAAAGTTTGAACATGAACTTGTCTGTAAACAGGAATAAATCCATTTTTGTTGTAAAATCCTGCACTCGGCTCCACTTTTCTCATGTTGGACATTTTTCTGATGAGGGTGTCACGGTCAACAGTCAAAACGATCGTCCTTTAAGAGCGTTTGGAAAGAGACAAGTCTTCATTTGTGCTGCTCTGGTGGGAGGGGCCACGTACAGAGACGCTGGAGACGCTGCTGTGATAAACACCACAGAAAATTAACACCATTTTAATAGAAAATATGATTAAAATATTTTAGTAGAAAATCAGCTGAGGGCCAGATTAAAGGTCTTGGAGGGCCGGATCCGGCCCCCGGGCCGTATGTTTGACACTCCTGATATAAACGTGTGTCTGTGTGTACGACCTGCAGACGTATAATCTCTGAAAAGTTTCACATGAATCATCTCCAACGTGACAGAAACACAGAACAGACTCACCATCAGCAGAACATCCCTCTGTCACAGAAAGAACACAAATCAGATTAGTGTGAACGAACACTGCATCTGCAACGAAAACAACTCCAATATGAACTAGTGTGGACGGGGTCTATATCTCCTCCTTTAGCAGCAACAACGTTCTCTCCATGTCTGGGTTTGAAGGGAATTATATCTCAACATACAATATGACCACAGCACCTCATGATCAGTGTTGGGAGTAACGTGTTATAAAAGTAATGAATTACTGTGCTGCGTTGCTTTTTACTGTAACACAGTAATGTAAGATATAACAGGGGAAAAAAATGTTAATATTTGACTCTGTACAAATGTGAGTATCGCGCGTCACAAACCTTTTTTAACCTGGATTGAAGTGGTGGGTTTTTCTTCTGACAAATTCATTAAAATCACCACAATATCAGCAGCAGTGAAACGCCGGAGACACGCCCATGTAGACCGTCTGGTGACCGTGAGCTAAAGGACCGACTCAGAACTCCACTCTGACCTGGTTTAGACCTGGTTTAGTCCTGGTTTAGACCTGGTTTAGACCTGGTTTAGTCCTAGTTTAGTCCTGGTTTAGTCCTAGTTTAGTCCTGGTTTAGACCTGGTTTAATCCTGGTTCAATTCTGGTTCAGTTTTGGTTTAGTCCTGGTTCAGTGGATTATACGATGCAAAAGTTCAGCATCTTTGCAGTTATTGTGGTGAGAGTAACTTAAAAGTCCTGTAATAGTAATGTAATGCCTTACATTTTAAATGCAGTAATATTGTTATTGTAACGAACACTGTTGGGCAAGTTACTTTGAAACTGCATTACTTTAAGTTACTCTCACCAAAATAACTTTTGCGCTGTATATGGACTGAACCAGGACTAAACCAGGTCTAAACCAGGACTAAACCAGGTCTAAACAGGACTAAACTAGAACTGAACTAGGACTAAAACAGGACTCACTGTCAGGATGGGCTCGAAGGTGACGCAGGAGAAAGGAGCGGCTCTGCTCCGCACCTCACGGAGGTAAGAGCGGCTGTCGCCCGATCGCTCTTTATGGACACTCTGCTGCTCAGGCTCACGGTCCTGATTTCAGCAACTATTTGCAGGTACAAGACCCGGTGCAAGAGTCTGTTACAGCGTGTAACTTCTACCTTCCTTCAGCGTGTCCAGAAGTCCAACTTTTTGTGTGATGGTCACATCTTCCTCTGCCTTTTGGGTGCGAGCGCAGGAGACTTTGTTAGTGCAGAACGTTTCGTCGACGTTGTGGGTTTCGTTGGGGAGAAAACTTGCAACCGTACAACACTTCAGAATCACACTGATACAGATTGAACATGTATTTAAATTTGGCAGCTGAACACATTCTGTACTGTACAGGAAACAGGAGTCCCTTGGCCAGTCAGGACGCAGCGGGAGGAACGCAACACGCATTCATACAATGTAAAAAAAAAATGCAAAATTGCAAAAAAATAAAAATAAAAAATCTGCGAAAAGCAAGACCGTGAAAAGTGAACTGCGATAGAGGGAGGGACGAGTGTAAACCAGGTCTAAACCAGAACTGACCCAAGTCTAAACCAGGTCTAAACAGCGTGGAGTTCTTTGTCAGTCCTTTCGCCCGCGGTTACCTGAAGGTCTACGAGGGCGCATCTCCGGCGTTTCACCGCTGCTGATATCGAGGTGATTTTAGCGAATTTGTATGAAGAAAAACCCACCACTTCAATCCAGGTAAAAAAAACATTGTAACGTGCGTTACTCACATTTGTACCGAGTAAAATATTACTATTTTTTACCCTGTAATGCCCTTACATTACTGCGTTACAGCAAAAAGTAATGCATTACTGTAATTCGTTACTTTTATAATGCGTTACTCCCAACACTGGTAACGAATTACTTTGAAATGACAGAAACAAGTCATAAACTACACATTACAGTTTTGAAGTAACTTGCCCAACAGTACCTCATGATGTACTCTCTGTTGCTGCACACTGTGGAGGCTAATACTGTTAAAGAGATACTTTTTTCCAAAGATGTCCTGACTAGGCTTTAGTCCTGTCTTTACTAAGTATTTGTGTTTTTTTCCACAGATTTGACCTGTATATTCAGTGCAGGACACCTGGGCATGATGGACCCTCAGGAGAAAATATTTGATGACAAAAATGGAGGTCTGCAGTGGTCTTTGGAAGATGAAGATGACCGACAAGCACTTACAGAGATGCATGACCAGTTCCAACCTTTCAGAGACATTGTTTCACTTGTAAGTGGACAAGAGTGGGACAGAATTATAGAGGAAGATCAGAATTTCAGTGGCACCCTTTTCAGATTCCCCTTACGCACAGAGAAGTCGCAAATATCCGACAATCTTTACAGTTACGAGAGAGTTGTGGAGCTCTTCGGCAGTTTCATCGCTGACGCAGACCTGAGCCTTCTCTTCCTCAAGAACGTCTCGTCCGTCTCCCTCATCCACATTGACGCTGAAGGCTCTGTCTCTACTCGACTCGAAGTGAACTCCACAACCTCAGAAGATGTCAGTCTAGAGTCATCTGAGGGTGTCACCAAAGGACATACAACAATCAAATCCATTACTCTTAAGTCGGCAGACAAGCTCGAAGAAACCAAGTGGCTACTGACGTCTTGCACTCTGAAAGAAGGCCACGTGGACAAGCTTGATTACCTTGCGGAGAAGCTCAAATTCGTTCCTAGGGTGGACTTGGCGTTCCCTTGCGACGACAGCGTAGATTGCAGCAAGAGTCGACTGTGCTGCTTTCTCCCCCTACCAAACAACGAGTCAAACAAGACAGGGCTCCCGGTTTATGTCAACGCGTACTTCGGCCTCACCGACAACCGGAGAGAGATCAAGTGGCAAGAAGAAGACCAGATGAACGACGAACACGCCATCTGGAACGAGCAGCTCATCAAGGAGGTGCTTCCGGAGACCTTCCTCACCATCCTTCAAGACGCCATCAGACTTGTCCAAGACTACGTCCTGCCGGCGAATTCCAGCTACAATCTGTGGCCCGATCTGTCCCAAGTGCAGCACAAGGAGAAGTGGCACGACGTGGCCTTGGATGTTCTCCGTAAGATGTTCGATCAGGATATTGCGGTTCTGTCTCTCGCCAAAGATGAGAGGCGGTTTATCACGCTGTCCGAAGCTGTGTTTCCATGTAACGGTCCAACGCCGTCGGACACGCTGGCCGCCATCAAGAGAGTCCTGGTGTCCCGCGATGAGAACCTGGTGACTTTATCAGACAGTGTGGCCAGAGCTTTGAAGACAGCCTACCGAAACTTTAATTCTCTAACCCACGTGACTCCAGCCTTCCTGAGAGACATTCTTCGCCGCACTGGTGTTGAGGACATCTCCGGCGTCGACAGGCGGACTCTGTTGGAGTACGTTTTGAGTGATGGAAAGTACGCAGAACTCCGTGGTCTACAACTGCTCCCTCTCAGCGATGGTTCCTTCAAATCCTTCACGGACAGAGAAGAGGACACCAGTGTTAATCGACAGCATGGAATTTCCAAGGTATTTCACTCTGACATTGTGCCAGATTCATAGCATGGCATTTTTACCTTAAAGAGCCCATATCGCTCTATTTTCTGATCGATGTTGCAATGTTTCCTCGTCACAAACACATCTGGAGTTACATCTTGTTTCATTCACACATGTTTAACACACAAACCCTGCAGATTTAAGGTGAGTTCTTCTCTAAAACAGGAAACACTCTGTTCCACCTTGTGATGTCATGTGGCAAGACAGGAAGTGCTTCACTGTGTTTCCATACAGCTTCACTAGAATCATTGGGCCGACTTCAGGTCTGGAATTGCCCCTCTCTACTAAGACTTTAAGAAAAGAAATGTATTGTGATTTTTTTGGCAGATATTGCGATTTCGATTTCATCCACGATTTTTTGCAAATCAAGTTTCAGTGCGCATGAACATTTGTAAACATCACAGAAACTTACATCACACCAGAGTCCTGCACCGGCGATTTGATGCTGGACCGTAAACAATAAGGGCTGTGATTGGTCGTCTCTACAGATTTCCTGTACTCCGCTTTCTTTTCTTTCAATATTGAGTAATAATGTGTTTAATGCAGCTTTGGGCACATTTGTTTACAGTTTTACAGAAACAAAAATTAAAATCACATGACTCATTTGCATAAACTATAAGTGCTAAAAAAAAAAACAGCTCATAAATAAGTTTAACAATAATTTCCAGTGATTTTCCACATTAAACAGTAGAACTTTACTTTCTATTCACATGTGTCATTAAAACTGTGTCTAAACCAGAACTAAACCAGGACTAAACCAGGACTAAACCAGGTCTAAACCAGAACTGAACCAGGACTAACCAGAACTGAACCAGGTCTAGACCAGGACTAAACCAGGTCCTATCTATCAAAACTAGATCCTAATTTTCTGCAGGTATCGACACTAAAAAAGTCCCATTTTTAGGACAGAAATGAACCTTTAGAACCTTTAGACCTGATGTTATTCAGCTTCTGTTGGACTAAAGGACACGACTCAGTGGAATATGAGTGTTCTCTCTGTGACAGAGGGGTGTTCTGCTGATGGTGAGTCTGTTCTGTGCTTCTGTCGTGTTGGAGATGGTTCCTGTGAAACTTTACATGAACACCAGGTTTAAATCTTCTCCTCGCGTTGTTGCTGTGAATTACTTCGAGGTGCATTGACCTCGACGCAGATCCATAAATCAAAAACAAAGGCGACAAGGCGACAGTGGTCGTGTGTGATGAGTCGACGCAGAACTAAACCTCACCCTTAAATTGGGCTTTAGGAGCACTGCAAAAAAACACACCTTTGATGCTCCCAAAATTGTGTTGTGTGTGATCGCGATTTTCGGTCCAAAACGATAGATCGTTCAGCTCTACTCTCTACTAAACTAAAGGAAACTGTTAACTTGAAAACTACCACTTTATGACATCACAACATAAACAGAGCATTTAGAGTTTTCTAGATGTAGACTAATAATAAAGGATTGCTCAAATATGTGTGAATGAAAAAAACACAAATCCAGATGTATTTTTGATGAGGTCACTTGTGATCAGAAAATAGTGTAATATACATTTATTTTGTTTAGTAGTTTGGCCAAATCAAGTGAAGGTGACCAGAATGTTAACCAGTATATTTTGTTTGCGCAGGACATTGCTTCCGTTCTGTCAAAGTCTCTTCATACCAGATGGCCTCAGTCCAGAATGTGTAACCCACCTGAGAAAACTGGCAGAGCAACGTAAGAACACATCCTGACATACAGTTTGTTCACTATCTCTGTTTAAGAGTCATTCTAACTTAATTCTTTTTGCAGATCTGTACAAGATCATTAAGATGGATGCAGATCAGGTGTTGAGATACACAAGAAGCCATATGCCAGAAGAGTGGAAGAAGTCAGAGAAGAGCCTTGTAACATGGGAGGTGAGCAGGGATCGGCACCCCCCACTGAACTGGTTACAAGACTTCTGGAGATTTCTTCAGAGTCATTTTAGGGATCTACGTTGTTTAACTGGACTGCCCTTAATACCAGTTAACACAGTGTCCAGTAGCCAACCAGTGACACTTGCTAAAATACAAAGTAACCCAACGTTGATTTTTGAGAAAAGTAAACAAGCGGCCTTACCAGATACAATCATTCAGCTGGTTAACAAAGTTGGAGGCACCGTGGTGAAAGAAAATAATTGGCTAAAGCACGAAGACCTAGATTCCTATGTCCTGAGTCCATCTCCACGACATGTTCTGCAAGTGTTTGTAAATGTACAGTCCCAGCAAATCATCAAAGAGCTGAAGGCTGCTCCTAAAAAGACTTTAGAGGAGCTAAAAAATTTCTTCTCTCGACTTGATGTTCTCTCAAGCTGTGAAAAACAATTACTCTTGCAGTTGCCGTTGTTCCAGACCATCACAGGACAGTACACCAGTGCTCAGTCCAAACAAGCTGTGCTGTTTATCTCCGGACTCACGATACCTGTAGATTTACCCATGCCTAACACAGTGTTGAGGTGTTCTACTGAGGCCGATCGCAGACTTCTTCAGCTACTCAAAATCACCCTCTTGGAGACAGCGCAAGCAGCCAGTCTTCTGATCGACAGTGTGGAAAATAGAACATGTGGCCAAACAGGCACTGAGAAAATCATGACATGGATCTTAGACCATGGAAATATCCTTTTCTACCAAAATCCAAATTTAAAAGAAAGATGCAAGCATTTGTCTTTCATTGAAATAAAGGGAAAGTCAAAGAAATTGTCCAGTCTTTATGACCCTACAGTTAATTCATTTAAAGTTCTATTTGAAGACGATTACTTCCCACCAGCTGTTTACACAAAGACACCGCAGATGCTTGCAAGCTTGATTGACCTTGGACTAATCCATAAAGAAGCAGATGTGTCTCCTGAACACCTGCTGCATGCCGCCACACTGGTTGAAAATCTTACAAGTGGCAATCACCAAAAGGCTCGCCAAAAAGCACAGGTGTTACTGAAAATCCTGGATTCCAATGATTTATTAAAGGTCTTTACCCATGACCAGATTGAGCGACTGAAAAGGATTAAATGGGTGCCAGTGACAAATCCAAAGAACCTACAAAACGACTCTGTACGAAATGGGTTCTCCTGCCCAGTGGAGATGAGGCACAGCATGTATGAAGACATAGTTGGGTACGTGATGCCCATGGAGGGATCGCTCAGTGAAAACATCTGCACCAAACTTGGCCTCAAAGAACCACCACCACCAGAAAAAGTAGCTGCAAATCTGTCAGTGCTCATATCCAAAGCCAAGGAACTGGATAATCCTGACACAAATGTGGATTTTAAAAGAAAACTCCGAAGCATTTATGGACATATGCAGAAGTCCATCCACAAATACGCTGCAATAATCAGCAAAGACACTAGATGGCTTTGGAATCGCAACCAGTTTATGGCTCCCAGAGAATTGATTCTAAAATTTCCAGATAATCTAGACCTGAGCTCTCAAATTGGTAAAGTTCCAGATGAATTTCTTCCATACAAACGTTTATTCCAAGAGTTTGGACTCCGCGAAAATTTGACAGTTGAAGAAATCATTGAGTTACTTTACAGGATTAAACAAACCATTGAAGACAGAGAAGTGGAAGTTGCAACATCTTCAGAGATTAAAGTGTCTATTGACATTCTGAACTGGCTTCGGAGAGAGAAGAAAGTGGTTCCCGATGATGTTCCTGTGCCAGTCATCGTACAACATGGACAATACACACTTAAATCAAAGTCAGTGGCTGTTTTCTGTGACCTGAGCAAAAATGGCTTGAAAGAACTTGAGTGCAGCCAAGAAGAAATGCATGTAGTTCATGAGGAGATGCCAATAGCAACAGCAGAGTTTTTAGACATTCAACTCCTGAGTACTTATATTCTGGATCCAAAGTCAGTGGGAATCGAACAATGTGGGCAAACAGAACCAATAACAACCAGAATCAAAAACATTCTGAAAGAATATGATGAAGAACGTGACATTTTCAAAGAAATCATTCAAAATGCTGAAGACGCCGGAGCTCAAACATGTAAATTCTTATTGGATTTTAGAGTTCACAAAGGTGACCCTGAAAGTCTCATTGACCCAGACATGAGGTTGTGCCAGGGCCCCTGTGTGTGGGCATTTAATAATGAGCAGTTCTCTCCTGATGACTGGAAAAATATAGTGAAAGTGGGCGCCGCCTCGAAGGAGAACATGGTGGAAAAGATTGGCATGTTTGGACTTGGATTCAACACTGTGTATCATGTCACGGACATTCCCTCCATCCTCAGCGGCAGTACGCTCCTCATACTTGATCCAAATGTTAGCCATCTTAAAAAACGCATCAAAGGCAAATCAAATCCTGGCATCAAACTGGAGCTATCTCGGCAGAATCTTTTTCAGTGGTTTCCTGGTCAGTTTGCACCTTATGAAGGTGTTTTTAACTGCAGTTTCTCCGGTCAGTCTCCTAAACACTATCCTGGCACCCTGATTAAATTACCATTCAGAACTGTAGAGGAATCACTTTCATCAGAAATAAGCTCTAAAGTTTATAACAATCAACAGATTTTGGCTTTTCAAAACCACTTCACCAAAGACTCCCATTCGCATCTAATCTTTCTTAAAAATATCAACACCGTGTCTCTTCAAACTGCCTCAAGCTCATCTTCGACTCCACTGACAGATGGAGACATTGAAAATATTTTTACAGTCTCCAAGACTACACTGCGCCGTATGGATATTTCAGAGGAAAGTCCTGCGTTGATGCAACAGGAGACTGAGAACACGTTAAAGCAGCTTAACAGGAAATACAAAGAGGTCATCGACTGCAGCAAAGTGGACATTGTGGAGGTAACATGTCAGCAGTCAGGGGAAACACACATCCAGTGCTGGCTTCTCTGCAGCTGCTTTGGAACTAAAGAGTCATTGAAACTGGCCATGGGCAAAAACAAGAATTTAGCATTTTCATTGCCAGTTGGTGGCGTTGCTGTGCCTTTGCAGTGGAACCAGGAAGCTAAAACATTTGAAGCATCACAGACAAAACTCTCAGGAAAAGCATTTTGTTTCCTTCCTCTTTCCATTGACACAGGACTACCATTCAATGTAAACGGAACATTTGCAGTGACGAGCAACAGAAAAACTCTTTGGGAGAGTGGAGTTAAACATGAGTGGAACAAGTCTCTGCAGCAGGACCCAATCGTCTCTGCTGTCATCACTGCACTGTTGGCTCTTAAGAAGATGTCACAAAATAAAGAACTGAACAACTACCTCTACCACACATTCTGGCCTCACAGGGAGCGTGTGAGTGAGAATTTTAAGCCACTTGTTGATGCATTTTATTCTACTATTGCCCAAACTGGCAGTGCCCCAAAGCTTTTCAGTGATGGTGAGCACTGGTTCTCTTTGGAAAATACCCTCATTTTCCACAAAAGCATCGAGGAAGATAAGAACATTTTCCCACTTGTAATGCAGGTGTGCCAGAAACATGTCAAATCCAGTCACGCAGTTTCAATTCCAGGCCCAATACGGAATAGTTTTAAACAGGCAGGCCTTGAAAAGGCCTTACAACACAAGACTTGGAATTGGGAGAGGTTTTACAAAGAAGCAGTTTTTGCAAATCTGGGCGAAATTGATCCTGAATGGAGAGATACACTGATACTACACGCTATTCACCTCAAAATGAAAGAGATTGACTCTCTTTTGGTTGCATACCCATGCATCCCTACTACCAGTGGACAGCTGCAGTATATTCAAAATCTAGTCGACCCAAATGGCAAAGTGGCCTGCCTGTTTAAGCGCAAGGAAGGGCGCATACTAGGAGGGACCATAAATGACTTCTGCTCCTCTGAAACAGTTTCTCGCCTACAGAGGCTTGGAATGGCATGTGATATGCTTTCTTTAAAAGACATTACCAAGAAAGCAGAAGCCGTCAGTAAAGTCTGGGTCAAAGACAAAAACAAAGCATATAAACACATAAAATGTCTTCTGTCTCTTCTAAAGCATCACCTGGACCATGATGACTCTCCTTTCTGGGAAGCTTTGAGAGCCGCTCCATTTCTGCCAGCCTTTTCACCTGGAGACACAACCATGAAGAGAGAGGTGACGTTGCAAAGACCTGCTGATGTTTTCACTGACACATGTGCTCTTCTTGTTAACATGACAAAGCCTATTTTAGAGATTTCTAAACTTAAAATATATTCATCTGACCCAGTTCTACAGATGCTGGGGGTCAATGACAAAGCAGACCCTGAAATGGTGCTTGAGCAGCTAAAAGAAGCACAGGCACAGTGTCAGTCTTTGGACAAATCAATGCTGCAGAAAATGGCCAGTGATTGCTACAAGTTTCTAGATCTCCACCTGTGTGACTCAGACGAAGACATGAGAGAGTTCATTGTGCAGAGTGCAAAGTCATTTGCATTTGTCCTTGTTGGTGATAAATTTGTCAACATCAACTGTGTAGCTGAAAAGGCACAGTTTGAAGCTAAACCCTATCTTTATGCCCTTCCAGTTCAGTTTGCACATTTTAGAAGACTCTGGGAAATGGTTGGAGTGAATAAAGAGTTTTCTCTTAGCCAATGCCTGGAGGCCCTGGAGAGCATCAACTCTAAACACAGAAATAAACCATTACCAAAAAGTGATCTGTCAGTTTGCCTCACTATTTTGATCAGAGGAATTTCTGAAACTGGGGAAAGACCAAAAAACTGCCTTGTGCCCAATAAAAAGAGCATTTTACAACCTGCACAAACCATGTTCTACAATGACTCTCCATGGATGCCAGTCAAGAAGGGAGTCACACTTTGTCATGAAAACATTCCACGAGTAAAAGCAATCAGCTTGGGCATTAGAACAACGAGGCACCACACACTGTTGAGTAATGTTGTTGAACACATGTCATCATTTGCCTTTGAATTTGGGCAGCAAGAAGACCTAACCGTTCGAATCAGAAATATCATCTCAGCCTATCCAGCGAAGAAGGACATTCTTAAAGAACTTATTCAAAATGCTGATGATGCAGAGGCCACAGAAATCCATTTTATTTGGGACAAAAGGCAGCATGGAAGTAAAAGGACGTTTGGGGAGAGATGGAACGCTCTGCAAGGTCCAGCTCTGTGTGTGTTCAACAATAAAGTCTTCTCTGATGCAGATTTTAAAGGAATTCAGCAGCTGGGAGAGGGTGGGAAGCACAACGCTCCAGGAAAGACTGGAAAGTACGGGCTTGGATTCAACTCTGTTTACCATCTGACCGACTGCCCCTCCATCCTCACTGGGGATAAGATACTCGGCATATTTGACCCCAACCAAAACTACATTGAGAGCACTTCAGATGTTTCACCTGTTGGCACTGGTTATAACTTAGCTGACAATTTTAAAGAGATGTACATGGATGTCTATGAAAGTTTTCTTCCAAATATGTTTTCTCTGAACGAAGGGACCATGTTCAGGTTGCCTTTAAGAACAGATGACATGGCAAAGTATTCCAAAATATCCCCAAGTACAGTTGCTGCAAATGACATGAAAGAACTCTGCTCTGCACTTACTGAAGATCCTGAAGGATTGATACTTTTTCTAAAGCACATTTCCAAAATAGAACTTCATGAAATTGACGCATCAGGAAAGCAACGCACCACTTTTACAGTGCAAAAATCTGTACCAACTTCCAATGAAAAAGACACTTTTGTTAAATTAAAACAAGAGTCACTCTCTTCAGATAAGCCAGTAGAACCACAGAAGGTAATCTATGAAACTGTGATTTCAACATCACAGGAAATAACAACTAAATGGATCATTGCAGAACAGTTTGGCTCGATTAAAAACAGCGACAAACACACAGTACCGTGTGACAAACTTGCTCATGCAGCAGTAGCAGCACGTGTGAGTCGAAAAAAGCCTAAAAATAAGTATGAACATTCTGAGAGACAAACATTTAGTCAACAAAAACAACAAAACCCAAACCATTTTGAAGGAGTAGCGTTTTGTTCACTTCCTTTGCCTGGTCACACTGGTCTACCAGTTCATGTCAATGCCAACTTTGAGGTGGATTCTTCTCGAAGGAACCTGTGGACAGAAGATGGTGAGAGTCAGAAAATAAAATGGAATGAATATTTGAAACAGACAGTCATAGCTCCTCTGTACGCTGACCTCCTTGATTACCTTCGCCGTGGCTTTGCAGACAAGCAGAACTACAAATTGATACAAATTGAAGCTCTCCAAAAATTTTACTTGTGTTTCTTCCCAACAGTCAGCAAAAACGTTCACCCATGCTGGCATGAGATGGTGCATGAAGTGTACAGATCAATCAAAGAAAGATCTCTGGATGTGATTCCTGTGTTCAAAGGCTGTACAGAAACAACTGAAAACCGTACTTTGTATTGTATCAAGTGGTATAACATTTCACAAACTGACCCAACTAAAATACTTTACCTTTTGTCTGGAATCATGGAAGGGCTCAGAAAGATTTTGGAAGATGTTGGAATGAGGCTGGTGCCTTCAAATTTTCAAAGTATTTGGAGCAGTTTCAAATCAGCTGGAATTGAAATGTACTATGTGAGTCCTTCAACTGTGCGGACATTCCTGAGAGCTAAGCCACTCAATGATCCATCACAGACAGAAGAGCAGCTGCCTCTCTCTGTATCACAGACTCTTATCAAGGATGGTGAAAGATGTGCTGAGCTCTTGAGTTTCTGTCTCAAAGATCTTGAAGAAGTAAAAGGAAAAGGCACTAAAATCTGACCCCAGTGTTATCCACGGACTTCCTCTTCTTCTAACAAAAGACCAGGTTCTGAGAGAATTTGACCTGTACTCTCCCAAATTTGTTTCATTATATGATAAATTGTTTATTGGCCATGAAGACCAGTTTGCAGATTATCGGACCAACACAATGCGCATTTCCATTCTTAAAAGTTTTGGCTTTGTGAAAGAGTTGACCGTTTGCGATGGAGCAAGAGTACCTGAAGCCCTTAATTGAACAGTTTCTTGAAACATGTGAAGTTGATCCAGAAAAAGAACTCTACATCCCAAGTGAAGAAATGTTGAAGTGGTTGAAAAGTCTTTGGATGTTTATTTTCAGTGAACTCAGAATTTCCAACATTGTCACAGAAGGTCTGACATTAGGGGCGGTGAAGCAGATCTACAGTGAATGCTGCATTTTGCCAGTCATCTGCCAACTAAACAAACAGAAATACTTACAAAAGATGAGTGACATGCCGAGTGTGATTATGTATCATTCTGACAGAGACGTATCAAACATCTTGTTTAAACTTGGCTTTTTAGAGTTGAACACTTTGTTCTTCAGTGACATGTACAGTGAGCGCTATTCTCATTTCTCTTCAGAGCTTTTAGATGTCTCCAATAGCAGTTCTGTTTTGGATCAACTCTGCAACAAAAACACTTTGGAATTTTCACAACTGTCATCAAGTGAAATGAGTGAACTACAGATCTTCTTGATCTCTGGTGTTTCCAAAGCCAAAAACAAGCAAGATTATCAAAGAAAGTTCAAATCCTTGCCTTTATTTGAAACAATAAACCATGAGCGTGTCAGGATTGATGGTTCAAGACGTGTATATGTCCTCAATATGAATGAACTGACCAGATTTCCAAACTTGTTTAGGCTGCCTGACACCTCTGCCGTGTTCCTCAAAAACAGTCCTGAAAACTTGCACCTCTCGTATTCACTGAATATCAAAACACTTTCTGATTTGGACTTTTTTGTTCAGTTCTTGGTGCCGGTGGTTCATATTCTCACAGAACGTCAGACTTTAGACTGTCTCAAACTTTTGTTTTCATTACAACATCATAACAACTTTTCCGAATCAAAGGAACAAATAGTTTCCACATTTAGAAACGTGAGACTGATTCGGAGTTCTCTTGGCCAATTGCAATTGGTGTCCTATTTCTTTGATGGCGATGTTGAACTCTTTAAGGTGATGCTACCAAAAGAAAGATTTGTGCCCAAAGCATTCTGGGATGAGGTGACTGAAAATGCCCAGCACAGAGTCGCTCATTTAAAAGCTTTACTCAAAGAGCTCGGAATGAGGCATACTGTTTCTGCAGATGACATAACAGCATTTGCACATCAGGTAGAGGAAGAAGTGAAACTCAAAGGAAAACTAAATGATCTAAAAAAGAAATCCAATCTCATTTTCAAAAAAGCTCTACAGTTTGCTGAAGACTCAAAAAGCAATGGACAAAAGTTGCTTCAAAATTTAGCTCATGTTAAGTTTATTTTCCCTGTAAAAATCAAAACAGAGTTGTGTGACTACCACCCTGCTTTTACCTCTGAGGACACTGCTGTTCCAATCAGTGGAGCTTTGATTGAAGCTAAAACAAGAGATCAAGAACTTATCTGGACTTCAATGGCCATCATACATGTCCCGGGGTATATGTCAAAAACAGTTCGAGAAAGGCTGTCCAGTGCAGGGGCATTTGAAAATCCTCCATCAGAATATGTTATTACAAATTTGAAAAACATATGTTTGTCACCTTGTCAAAATGAGCAGATAATCCAGACCAGAGCCAGTGTGTTTCAGTCTTGTTATACTTTCCTGCTGAACAAGCCCATGAAAAGTCAGTGCCTGGCTGGACTTCCTGTTGTGCTGGTTGAAAAAAACAAGAAACTTGTAAGAACTGAAGATGTCTGTTTTTCTCTTGACCATGACAATGACTTCAGACCCTATCTGTACAAACTCCCTATAGACCTGGTAGTTTACACGGTTTTCTTCACAAACATTGGTGTAAATAATGAACCCTCTGTAGTACAGTTTTGTAATGTTTTGGCAGCACTACATAGTGACACGAGTAATAAACCAAACCTACACGCAAACCAACTAAAAACAGTGAAACGTGCTGTCGAGCAGCTGTTTAACCTTGTGAAGCAGCAGAAACAAAGCCTTGATGTCATAAAGATGCTGTATCTTCCGGGTGTGAACGGGAAGTTAATGGAATCAAACAAACTTTACTACAATAACACACATTTTGAAGCTTCACGACTAGAAAAGGCTCTTCCACAGAAGTTTGTGTTACTTGAGAAACTTAGTAATTGCTATTTGAAAGCAGACATTTATGAACACCACAAGCTCATAAACCTACTGCCACAGAGGCTTCAGCCACAGATGCTGTCCCAAATCACTGAGGAGAAACTAGTGGAGACGCAAATGGAGCAATGTGACTCAAACTGTGAGTTTAGTGAGTTCTTTGAAGAACATCTTTCCTCTCCAGTATTTCATTATGGCCTAATCTGTCTGATCCGAGCTGAGTCAGAGGGCAAAATAACACAGGAGCAGGCCATGGAAATGTGCAACTCCACCTTTGGAAGAATACAGATCTTCTGCTGTCAGCGTCTACGGACAGAGCTTTGGCTGGAGAAGCAACAGCTCCCAAACACTGTTGCACAGACAGGTTTATGTCAAACAAGAGCAAGAAGGCTGCATCTTTTACTTGCAGCACAATGATTTGGATCACAATGCCATATTTCAAGTGTGTCAAACATTGGCAATGGAAATCAACAATCTGTTAGGCAACATACTGGAATCAAAAAAAGTAATGGCCTGTTCATCCCTCATCCTGTGTCAAAATCTAGACCAAGTGAGAAAAAATTTAGCAAAATATAAAATCCGTGACAGTGTCGAAACTGAAAATTTACAGTTCAATCCACCAGCACCAGGAACAGAGATCCCTGAAGAATGGCACGATGCTTTGGACATGAACATTCTCAACAACTTTGAGGAGGGGGAGTACGTAGGCTACGATTTTAATGGAAAATACATCTATGCAGTCATTGTTGAGAAACTACCTGGAAACACTGCGCAGTTCATGCAGAGATACAAAATAGACATCGGTGAAGACGAGCCAGTGGAGGTCGGTTTTCTCGACTTGTACCAGTTCAAACGTGAGAAGCGACCAGCCCCGTCGTCCAGTTTGGAGCTCCAACTTGTAGAAGCTCCAAACACACAGCCCCATTCCCCCCAACAAAGCACAAGGTCCTCACCTGCATCTGTTGAAGAGGCCAAAAAAGAAATCGACAAATGTTTGGATGAAGTTTGGATTCTTCCCGCGGAGGAGCGAAAAAAAGCCATCAATGCGGCTGTACCTGAGGTGGCACCCAGATAAAAACCCGGACTGTCCTTTGATTGCCACCGAGGCCTTTAAGTATCTAAAGAACCGAATCGACGAACTAATACAAGGAAAATGCAGATCTACTGGCTCGCGTTCCTCCTCCCATTCCCGTTCCTCCTCCTCTCCGTCATATTCCAGGTCACACACCAACTTCCGAGACTTTTTCCACGAATGGGACGAAGAGGCGAGACGTCACAGAAGCAGCCGAGAGCGGTTTCACTGTGGCTCTCGACGTTCTTACAACTTCTGGAACTTCAGCAACTTCAACAACAACTTCAACAACATCCGACGTCCAAACAAAGAGGAGGCCAAACGCTGGTGCAGGCAAGCCCGGTGTGACCTGACCGCGGCCGGCAACGACACGGAAAAGGACGCGACCGAATGGTGCCTCTTCAAGGTCCATCAGGTTGTGGAAAAAGCTCTCATCGCCGCGTCTTACCGGAACAACGGAAAGCGTCCAAAGAGCGGCTCTATTTCCAACGTGGCCTCGGAAGTTTCCTCGTACGGTCCCGGCCTCAGAGGTCTTCCGCAGCTCGTGGCGACTCTGAAGGCCCTGGGCGTGGATTCCAAAAAGACCCAGTACCCGGACTGCCACCCCGTCCCGCTCATCCCCAACGGACAGTTCCGATCGGCCGACGAGAGGCGAGCGCTGGACGTGGCATCGGAAATTCTTACTCAAGTTGAAGCCTACGTCAGTCGCTGAATTGGTGTTTTTTCTTTTTTTTTTCTGGAATTCTGTTTCTTCCAGATGTTTTTTCTTAAAGATTATTGTACTTTGCCATGAAATATACAAAAGGTAAATTCCCAAATATGGAACCTGATCATTTCTGTTACTGACTTTGCTCCATTAAAACTAAAATCTGCAGCTGAATATTCATTTTACTCGCCCTCGTTTGTCTTAAATAATTATGGCGTATAAAAGTTTAACATTTACTTTCTAATCTCTGTGGTGGAACAATATTAATATTTGAACTTTGTGAACATTTAAAGGTCCTAAAAATAATAAATAAATAAAAATAACACATGTTAATACAATAACTTTGAAACCAAGTGTGATTTAAGATGAATCTTCTTCCTGTTCTGTTCTGTTCGTGTCTATAAATGCATCACCATTACTTTTTTTCCTTATTTTTATTGTATAAATAAATTTATTATAAAAATGATTTTGAAGCCAGTAAACTTATATTGTTCAGTAGAAAAACATTAAACTGATGAAATTTTGTTTAAATCTGACTTCCTCTTCGTCTTCACTTTGTCTCTTGGTGTGAGTTTGTGTAAAATCACATTATAACAGAACCAGGACTAAACCAGGACTAAACCAGGACTAAACCAGGACTAAACCAGGACTAGACCAGGACTAAACCAGGACTGAACCAGGACTAAACCAGGACTAAACCAGGACTAAACCAGAACTAAACCAGGACTAAACCAGGACTAAACCAGAACTAAACCAGGACTAAACCAGGACTAAACCAGGACTAAACCAGGACTAAAACCAGGACTAAAACCAGGACTAAACCAGGACTAAACCAGAACTAAACCAGGACTAAACCAGGACTAAAACCAGGACTAACCAGGACTAAACCAGAACTAAACCAGGACTAAACCAGAACTAAACCAGGACTAAACCAGGACTAAACCAGGACTGAACCAGGACTAAACCAGAACTAAACCAGGACTAAACCAGGACTAAACCAGGACTGAACCAGGACTAAACCAGGACTAAACCAGGACTAAACCAGGAAACCAGGACTAAAACCAGGACTAAACCAGGACTAAACCAGGACTGAACAGGACTAAACCAGGACTAAACCAGGACTGAACCAGGACTAAACCAGGACTAAACCAGGACTAAAACAAGACTAAACCAGAACTAAACCAGGACTGAACCAGGACTAAACCAGGACTAAACCAGGACTAAACCAGGACCAAACCAGGACTGAACCAGGACTAAACCAGGACTAAACCAGGACTAAACCAGGACTAAACCAGGACTGAACCAGGACTAAACCAGGACTAAACCAGAACTAAACCAGGACTGAACCAGGACTGAACTAAACCAGGACTAAACCAGGACTAAACCAGGACTAAACCCTAAACCAGGACTAAACCAGGACTAAACCAGGACTGAACCAGGACTAAACCAGGACTAAACCAGGTCTAAACCAGGTCTAAACCAGGACTGAACAGGACTAAACCAGACTAAACCAGGACTAAACCAGGACTAAACCAGGACTAAACCAGGACTAAACCAGGTCTAAACCAGGACTAAACCAGGTCTAAACCAGGACTAAACCAGGTTTTTTTTAAAAAAAACAAAAGCACATGGTCCAGTTGAAGTTCAAATGGTTTTATGAAGTAAAAAAACGTGTTGTGAAAATAATGACACGTCCGGCCTCATTTCCATCGACTCTTTCTGAACAAAGTTTGTGCTGAAGGAAGCGACAGGAGCTGCTCACGACCACATCGAAGTCCAGACGCTCGTGTCCCGTCGTCAGCAGCAGCAAATATTCATCATTTACACTTGTTCTGTCCACACTTCCATCTGTGACACATTCAAAACACTGCAGCTGATTCGCACACATTAAAACATGGCACAAGAGGAAGGTGCACTAAAGCATATTACGGAACATTTGATACAAGCTTAAAGCGCTAAACAAGTCCAACACTCGTCCTCGTAGCCCTGGCACATTCAGAGGAAATGCATCTCTTACAAAAATCACATATTTAAAAACATTTCATTAGAAAGTTTCCGTAAAAACGTCCCGTAAACCTGCGTCAGTCTGCATAAACCTGTCCTCTCCAACAGGACACAAAAGAAGTGGGACAGGAAAGGTACTTAAGGCGTACTTATGTCATTTGGCAAATGGGTTTTAAGACTTTTTTAAGACACTAAAATTCTATGTACAGCTAGAGAAAATAACTTTAACATTACAAGAGTTGCACCTGTTTCACGGACAGAAGGTTTTAGTGGTTTCACGAAGTAGCGAAAAATAAATAATCGTTCATTAAAGGTCCCGTGTTACGCAGAAAATGTCGTTCCCTCCTCAAAAACAGACCTGGAGTTGTGTTTAAGGAGCTCTTTATTATTACCGTATTGTCCAGACTATAGAGGCTTTGCACCGTCACGTGTCCCCATGGCAACGGTACCGACGCCGCCATGACACCGGGCAACACTACGTCACTGACTTCAGCAGCATTGGTTTTGTCTCTGGTTCCTTTTGTCTTAAATTATTGTATGACGACACTTTTTCTAGTTGACCTGATAAAAGGAAAGTGATTTTAACACTATCGTCCTATTTTAAGGCCATTTTCATGCCAAGTTTATCGTCATGGTCACTTTTTGCTTGAAAAATGGGCGATATCTCTGAAATGAAACGACATAGTGTCTAAAGGTCTCAGTTCAGACGTCTAAACCCACAGATGAAATCAAGTCAGATGAGCCGCACAGATCTCAGTCTCATGGTTCTATGAAATGATTCAGAATGGACCAGTTGATCCGAGCTTTGCCATTGGATTCAGCTGCTTTTACTAGAATGTTCTAGAGTCCACTGCAAAATGTTAACGGTCCTGGGTCACCAAACTCCGTCGGGGAGGGGGCTTTAGAGCGGGTGGACGTGTTCAGGAGGTGCGCCGGGTCTTGTGTGGAGGAACTGAATCTCTTGTATCAAACAAAATAGAAAAAATACATTATTCAACCAATTTAAGACTAAAGGAACCAGAAACAAAACCTTTTCTCTTTTTGGTGGGGGCCATTGTGGATGTTATGCACCCCGGCCACCAGGGGGCGCCCCAACTTGTATCCATGGATTTTTGAAAACCTTAGAACTTTACCTAACACCTGCCAAAAATCACAAACTTTTCCAGAAGTGCACGATTTTCACGAATTCCCTCCTGACTGTTTAGTAAAGTACAAAGCCGCTCCACCTGCAGCGTCGCGGCTCCCGTCGTCAGGAGCATCAGGAGTAAAACAAACTGTGATTCACTTTAATATCAAAACGCACCTGTCAAGAGACACGCTCACAACGCCCACTTTAAACTCAAGACTGTTTAAAGGAATATAAAGACCCGAATCATCACTGAACTGAACTCCAGGGAACAGGAACAATCCATGTATCATTCGTTCATTCGTTTTTCAATATAAAACCAAAAATAAGAAAACAAAAAAACAACAGTTTTCTTCACTATTTGTCTCCAAAACCAAAATGAAAAAACAGATAACGATTCGTTTTTTCAGTTTTCAATTTTGTGTTTAAATGAAAAATGGAAAAAACGGATAATGGCCGCTTCTCGTTTACGTGATTTCCGTGACTGCGATGCCGAACTTTTGCACCGCATACGGACTGAACCAGGACTGAACCAGGACTGATCCAGGTCCGAGACCAGACCAAGACCAGAGCAGGACTGAGACCGGGACCAGACCAGGACCAGAGCGGGACCAGGGCGGACTCCGAGCTTTGACTCCGAGCCTCCACGGGGTCCGAGCCTCAGCTTCGAGCTCCGGCCCGTGGGCTCTGAGCCTCCGATCTGGTCCCGGTCTGGTCCTGGTCTTGTCTCGGTCTCGGTCTCAGGCCCGCTCTGGTCTCATTAGCACTTTGGTCCCGGTCTGGTCCTGGACCTGGTCCATTTGAACCAAAAGCTCTTAGTTCGGTTCGTTGGTGTGAAAGTGTCAGTCGGATACTTTGCTCCACCTCGGAACCAGCCGTGGTTCTTGAGCGTGGAGGACTGGAGCAGCTCTGTCCCGGTCTCAGTCCCGCTCTGGTCTCGCTCTGGTCTCGGACCTGGATCAGTTGTGGTTCAGTCCGTATGCTGTGCAAAAGTTCGGCATCGCAGTCACGGAAGTCACGTAAACGGGAAACGGCCGTTATCCGTTTTTTCCATTCTTCATTTAAGCACAAAATCGAAAACTGAAAAAACTAATCATTATCCGTTTTTTCATTTTGGTTTTGGAGACAAATAACAAAGAAAACTGTTGTTTTTTCATTTTCTTATTTTTGGTTTTATATTGAAAAATGAATGAACGAACGACACACGGATTAGGAACAGTCAACAATTATGACTTATTGTGAATATTTAGCCTCTCAGACAGGATTTTTTTACGTGTTACAATTGAACAAAGTTGAGTTATTGTGAACACGTTAAATACATTTTGACTGACTTATCGAACTGTTGTGTTTCGTTTAATGCGCCTTATAGTCCCGTGACGTTTATGTGTGAAAAAACTCAAAAATCAACCATTCAGTGACAGAGCGCCTGATAATCCAGAGTGAACTATAGTGCGGGAAATACGGTAATAGTCTTAGATCGTTAAAGCTCCAGATGCTCTGTTCCACCTTGTGATGTCATGAATAGTAGTGATGTTGAGGTGAAGCCCCGTGAAGCGTTGAAGTGTTCCGTCCGTTTGCTCGACTCTTGAGCCGACGCTTGGAGGTGCTTCATTTGCTCCACTGCGCCATCAAGTGGACAAAAATATGTATAACAGGCAGAGTGAAAATAAAACAATCAACATGATCATCGAAGATTTATACTGAACAAATATTTAAATGTTTGTGATTTCAACATAAAGTGTAAATTTATGAACATGGACTCTGTGTTCATGATATAATGGTCGTTTTTTTTTTTTTTTTTTTCTACAGAAATATATTAAACCAGGGGAAAATTTGAGTATTTAGTGATGTGGTTTATGCCATAGAAAAAAAAAAAGAATCTCAACTAGAATGTACCAAAACCACAAATGTTTTGGGGGAATCTGTCGCATTTTTTTGGTCCTTATGTTTCGAGTCGCGAGCCAAATCCACAAACCACTTCCTGAAACAGTCACGTGGTACGGGCGGGTTAAGTGTCTTGCCCAAGGACACAACAACAACGACATGGATCATCTGTGGGACAACCTTCGGGTCAGTTGACAGACGCTCTGTCAAACGCTCTGGGTCTGTGTCCCGTTTGTTCTTTTGAATTTCAATTAAGAACGAAAAACTATAAAATGGGAAAACAGTTTGTTATTTCATTTTTCCGGTTTAGTGGCAAAAAAAAAAAAGAAAAAACAGTTCGAGTTCAGTTTCCAATATTTAATTTAAAGTTTATTTCAAATATTTAAATATATATATATTTAAAATATTAAAAAAGAAAATATTTTAAAATTTAAATTGTGTCTATGTCCCGTTCGTTTTTTTTTTTTTTTTTTTTTTCCAAATAAGAATGAGAAATGATAAAATGTGAAAACAGTCTGTTATTTCATTTAAAAAAAAAACAGATTTCGACCTCTATTTCCAATATTTAATTTAAAGTTTATTTCAAATAACACCAATCAAAAAACTGTCATCGTGCCTATTTTAATTTTGATATTTTATTGTCTCTGGTTTATTTGAAGTTTTGCTGCAGCGTCGACCGCGGATCTAGAATAAAAACTATTTTATTATAGTTCTGCGGAGTCGACTGAACAAATTTTAGATGATTTTCTAAGACGTGAAAGTAAATGCGTCGCCATAAAAGACGACGACATGTTTGTTCACAAAACTCCAACGATTTTTCAGGTTCGTCCTTCAGCAGCAAAACTTCAAATAAACCAGAGAGAAAAAAATATCTAAATTAAAATATGCACGATGACTGTTTTTTAATTGGTGTTATCTGGAACAAACTTGAAATTAAATATTGGAAATTGAGGTCGAAATCTGTTTTTTTTATTTGACACTAAAACGGAAAAATGAAATAACAAACTGTTTTTCGTTCTTAATTGAAATTCAAAATAACCAACGGAACATGGACCGTCGATTTTCAATATTTAATTTAAAGTTTATTTCAAAAACACCAATCAAAAAACAGTTCAGAAGAAACAGAAGTTCTGCTGCTCAGAGCCGCGAGTGAATTCAGTAAAGTAAGTAAACGCGTCGCTATAAAAGAAGACGACATGTTTTTTTTTTCCAGGTGAATCCTTCTAGCAGCAGAACTTCAAATAAACCAGAGAATAAAATCAAAATTAAAACAGGCACCAAATGTTTTTTGATTATTGTTACTTGAAATAAACTTTAAAATAAATATTGAAAGTAGAGGTCGAAATCAGTTGTTTTTTTTTTTTTTATTAAATAACAAACTGTTTTCCCATTTTATTGTTTTTCGTTCTTAATTGGAATTTTAAAAAAAAACAAACAAACAACGGGACACAGACCCAACTGAGCTTCTGTTGGTAGTTTTCAAGATAACATCTACTTTTTAAATTTTTTGTTCTGTAGAGTTCGTCAATTCCAGGGCTGAACTTGTCCAAATGATTCTCGCGAAGGTGCGTGGAGTTTAAAAACACAGTGGAGCACTTCCTGTACTACGTCATGACATCACAAAGTGGAACAGAGAACTCGGCCTACGTACAGCGCGCGGGGTTTTGTGAGTTTAAACGCGTGCGAATGAAACAAAAACTCAACTCCGGGTCCGTTTGCGACGAGGAAACGACATCAGAACGTAGATCAGAAAACGGCGCTTTGACGTCGCGGCGTTTGAACTTCGCCGCAGCGTTTACGAAAAGTCTGAGAAGACGTCGGAGCTGTCGAGTGTAAACAGCGATTTGTGTCCGTACGCAACACAAGAGCTCTCCAGTGACATCACATCATCATCGAACCTTCATCACATTTTTCATCATGTATAAAGTTAAATACAAGCCAGTTTTTTAAAATAGAAAATCTCCCCACCCCCGTATATATATATATATTTATTTATTTTATTTTATTTTTAACGCTTTATGATGCATGTGCGACGGGACGTGAAATGTTCAAAATGTTATCGGCCCAACGCTGGGCTTCAGATGATCGATATTATTTACCTCAAAAGGAGAATATCATGAAAAAGTTCAGTATTTTTTGTCTCTCATTTCAGAAAGTCAAACCCGTATATTACAATTCTTTTTTTTTAATGGACCAAAAAAGCAAAATAAAAGCCCCGGGGAGAACGGGTTAATGTGAACTTCTGAAGACCAAAACGACAGAAAGAGGAGCCACAATAGTTCACGATATGTTGGAGAGGCTCACGATTCGGGATGTAACAATATCTAAATCTCTCTGTACGATATTTTCACGATGTACATCTCATATTTATTGCGATATTTTGTAGAGACAAAACTGAATATGCTTCTTTTTTCCTCTTAAAACGCCTTGACAAAACTTAATCCAAAGAACTAAGAGTTAAAAGTGTTAGAACTGTTATTTCTTCTTGTCGTCTGCACTGAAATGGAGCAAAGGATCATGGTCTATGTAGTTCCCTCTGTGTTTTTTAGTATAACTCTTCATTTAAACAAAGAGACTTGTGATTCGATATATTGTGATGGTCCACGATATTATTGTGAGAACTTTTTACGATATATCACGATATTTCGCTTATTGTTACATCCCTACACGATACACGAGAAAGACACTTCTGCACACGCTCAGTCGGCCCAGAGACCCAGAAGACCGCGCCGGGTTAAAGGTGAATCTGGAGTCATGAGACATTGAGCTCGACCCATTGATTTGAACGGGAGGCCGTTTTAAAACCCCGGGGCTTGGTTTATATAAACAGGTTGTGCTCACGACGCTCAGAGCTGATGAACTTTTTCATGATAATCACATTTTTTCAGATGGACTAGTAAGTTATAAGTTTTACTGAAGGGGCCAGTGTTAAAAGGTCAAACTGGTGACGTCCCATGTTATTAATTACATAGAAGCGGCCCATGTTATTAATTACATAGACGTATCCCATGTTATTAATCACATAAACGTGTTCCATGTTCCAACATTTTCCATGTTATTAATCACATAGACGTGACCAATGTTATTGATCACATAGACATGTCCCATGTTACTGATCACATAGAAGTGACGTATGTTATTAATCACATAAACGCGTTCCATGTTATTAATCACTTAGATGTGACCGATGTTATTGATCACATAAAGGCTGTCCATGTTATTAATCACAAACGCGTTCATGTTATTACTCAATTAAAGCGTTCCATGTTATTAATCACATAGACATGTTCCATGTTATTGATTACATAGGGGTGTTCCATGTTATTAATCACATTGATGTGACCGATGTTACTGATCACATAGAGGCAGTCGATGTTATTAATCACATGGTAGCGGTCCATGTTACTGATCACATGGAGGTGACCTATTTTACCGATCACATAGACATGTCCCACGTTACTGATCGCATAGAGGCAACCTATGTTATTAATCACATAGACGTGACCGATGTTACTGATCACATAAAGGCTGTCCATGTTATTAATCACATAGAGGCAGTCGATGTTATTAATCACATGGGGGCGGTCCATGTTACTGATAACATAGATGTGCTCCATGTTATTAATCACATAGACGTGACCGATGTCATTTATCACAGAGACAGTCCATGTTATTGATCACATGGGGCTGGTCCCTGTTATTCACCACATTGAAACAATCCATGCTACTGATCACATGGAGACGGTCCATGTTATTCATCACATTGAGGCAGTCCATGTTATTGATCGCATAGATGTGTTCCGTGTTACTGATCACGCGGGGGAGGTTCATGTTATGGATCACATGAAAGTGGTCCATGTTACTGATCACATAGCGGCAGTCCATGTTATTCATCACATGGGGGCAATCCATGTTACTGATCACACGAAGGCGGTCCATGTTTTTGATCACATGAAAGTGGTCCATGTTACTGATCACATAGAGACGGTCCATGTTCCTGATCACACGGGGGCGGTCCATGTTCCTGATCACACGGGGGCGGTCCATCTTTCTGATCACATGGGGGTGTGGTCCACGTCATGACTTCACATGTTATAAGCCACGTAGATGGGGTCCAGTTGGTCCGCCAGGAAACCGTCCCTCAGGTGCATGCGCTGCTTCTCTCCGCGCGAGTTGATGGGGATGACGCCCGGGTCCACCACCACCACCACGCCCACGATCAGGTAGTGCTCCTCCAGAACCACGTTGGTCACCAGGGCAACCAGGTCCAGGGCCTGCTGCTCGGACCCCTCCAGCTCCACCACCACCACCAGCAGGTTGGTCCAGGTGAAGACCGCACTGAGGACAACACCAAAGAGTCCAGTCAAGAGAAATGTATTTGTATAACACATTTACCAAAGTGACTAAAATACAAGAGTAAACCTTAATACACATATACAGAATGAGGAATATAGAGGGACAGATAATACTCCCTACAACTGTGAAACAACTCACTCTTATGTAACAGATAACCCTATATCCTGTCAATCATCATATCACTTTTGGACAGTCTTCTTGTGACCTCTTGTATATTGCCGAGATATTTTTATTACTTTATTTCTATGTTTAATTATTGTTAGTGTTGATATTGTTCTTCGTCGGTTTCTTCTTCTTTTTTATTTTCACTTGCAAATGATCTCAATTTTGAGGACCTAAACGTCGACGAAAAGTCCCCAAACTGGGTATCAGATCGACCGGTTCGGTGAAAAATTTGATAAAATGGGCATCACGACAATGCCCAGAGTGACCCCCACTCAACAGCGCCCCCTTGAAAATGTGCATTATTAACTGAATGGGAGGCTGAGACGCACATTTTGCCGTAGGTTCACGAAATTCGGAACAGTGATAAGAACTCAAGGAGACAAGCAAAAAAGCCAATCATTGTGCGGCCCTATGACGAACAGGAAGTCGGCCATATTGGAAAATTCGCCGCCATTTTGACTTGGGTGTCAACAAAAACCTTCAAGTGCCAGGGGTTTGGTCCAAATGAGCTCAGATTTGACATGTTACATCTACAGACATGAACTCACAAAAATTTAAAATTTTTTTGTTGATACTTTGCCTATAGCACGTTGGCAAAAAAACACCTTCATTCGAGAACAGATTAACACCTCACGATCAGCTCCCGATCGGCAGTCGTAGGTCACAAGAAAATCCAACCTGTTTGAAATCCAGTCGCGTCTCGTGAGAGTTTCGCTCTGTTGAAGTCGTTCGTGTAGCGTGAGAAAATGAATCGTGAACTCTGAACTTTTAAACCCTGTGATTTGGTCGTACAGTTTGAGCTGGAGCTGAGTGAAACCATCAAAAATATTAAATATAAACAGTGCATTGTGTAACTTTTCTGGTGGTCAATCATATTCTTTTCTTCATGGAGATGTTGTTGCTTTGTCTGGAATGTTCCACAGTATGGCATTAAACCTTTCTATCTTCAGTTACAGGTCAGATCTGTGGAGAGGCGACCTCGCTCACAGTCAGAATGTTTGTTTTTCTAGTTATTTTTCAGCTCTAAAACCACCTGTAATTGAATAAATGTAAAGTCACACTGTGGGACATTCCTGGCACTCACCACTCGGCGATGCTCCGGTGGGCACGGATCACCGACGTCTCGATGTCGATGGGATGGTACCTCATGCCCCTCAGCTCCAGGGTCTCGTCCACACTGCCCACCACGTACAGGGCGTCATGTCGCTCTGCAAAACAACACAAAAACACGCTCACAGTCCAGCTCATCATCCACCGACCAGAATCATCGAAACATGGCCTAAGCAAGTTTGCAATTCGCAGTTTTCATAATGTCATGATATCATATCGTCAAAAGTCTCACAATAATATTACAAGTCTCTTTGCTTAAATTATTTGGTATGGTGCAGCATCAACTAAAAAAAGCAGAGGGAATTACATAAACCATGAGTGTGTTTACGCTGGAGTCTCCCGGTTCTGATTGGGTGATAAAACTAAAAATAAGAAAACGAAAAAAAAAAAAAAAAAAAACTATTTTCTTCATTATTTGTCTCCAAAACCAAAATGAAAAAACAGATAACTGTTTTGTTTCCTGTTTACATGACTTAAATTGCGATGCTGGACTTTTGCATCGCAAACAGACTGATTCAGGACTAAACCAGGACTAAAACAGGTCTAAGCCAGGACTGACCAGGACTAAACCGGTCTCAGTACTGGTCTGGTCCGGGTCTCAGTCCTGGTCTCAGTCCTGCTCACCCGACAGTGTTCGTGGGCGCACCTCTGGGCCCGTCCCGACACTCAGACCTTCTTTAGACCTGGTTTAATCCTGTTTTAGTCCTGGTTTAGACCTGGTTTAGACCGGGTTTAGACTGGGTTTAGACCGGTTTAGTTTAGTCTGGTTTCGACCTGGTTTAATCCTGTTTTATCCTGTTTTAGTCCTGGTTTTAGACCTGGTTTAGACTGGTTTAGACCGGTTTAGACCGGGTTTTATCCTGGTTTGTTTCTGTTTTAGTCCTGTTTAGTCCTGGTTTAGACCTGGTTTAGACCTGGTTTAGTCCTGGTTTAGACCTGGTTTAGACCTGGTTTCGACCTGGTTTCGACCTGGTTTAATCCTGTTTTAGTCCAGTTTTAGTCCTGGTTTAGTTTCGACCTGGTTTGACCTTTTAATCCTGTTTTAGTCCTGGTTTTAGTCCTGGTTTTGACCTGGTTTAGACCTGGTTTTAGACCTGGTTTAGACCTGGTTTCGACCTGGTTTCGACCTGGTTTAATCCTGTTTTAGTCCAGTTTTAGTCCTGGTTTAGTATTATATTATATTATCATTTTAAAAGGAAAAAATAGCTCATTCACACAGCTTTGTTTACCTCTACAAAATACTGCAATAAATATCATACTCTGTGAGAGGCATATTGTGAAAATATTATACTATATTGGATATCGTCACATACCCATTTTTTATTATATTCAACTACCTACTAACGGTAATGTGATATGAGAGACATAAAAACAAATGCAGCTACTGTGGAACAATGCATCCGTTTTCATAAAATACTATGATCTGTTAGGAAGAGTTATATGGTATTTTTCTGTACAAATGTTTGTGAAGTGTCCAGCAGAGGTCGCTGGAGGACACTCCCCCTCACCTCCGTTGGCGTCGGTGAGCTCGGTGCGGCGGAGGAAGCCCAGGTACCCGGTGCGCGCCCACACCGTCTGCGTGTCTCCGAAACTGAGCTTGGTGTTGAAGTGGTCGGCGTGGAGAGCCTCCTCCCCGTACACCGTGTAGTACCCAGAGGCGTTGTGTGGACTGCTCACCCAGATCTGAACGCACAAACACACACACACAGACGCACAAACGCACAAACACACAGACACACAAACACACAGACACACAAACACACAGACACAACACACAACGCACAAACACACAGACGACACACACACACACACACAGACGCACACAACGCACAAACACACACGCACACACAACACACAGACGCACACACAAACACACAAACACACAGACGCACAGACACAAACACACAAACACACAAACACACAAACACACACACAAACACACAAACACACAAACACACAGACGCACAAACGCACAAACACACAGACGCACAAACACACAAACACACAAACACACAGATGCACAAACACACAAACACACAAACACACAGACGCACACAAACACACAACACACACACAGACACACAAACGCACAAACACAAACACACAGACGCACAAACACACAGACGCACACACAAACACACACAACACACAACACACAACACACACAAACACAAACACACAGACGCACAAACACACAAACACACAGACGCACAAACACACAGACGCACAACACAAACACACAGACGCACAACACACAGACACACAAACACACACACAGACACACAACACACACAAACACACAGACACACAAACGCACAGACACACAGACACACAAACACACAAACACACAGACACACAAACGCACAAACACAGACGCACAAAACACACAGACACACACACAACACACAACACACAAACACACAGACGCACAAACGCACAAGACACACAGATGCACAAACACACACGCACAAACACACAAACGCACAACACACATGCACAAACACACACAGACGCACAAACACACAAACACACACAGACACACGCACAAACACACAAACACACAAACACACAGACGCACAAACGCACAAACACACAGACGCACAAACACACAGACACACAAACACACAAACACACAAACACACAAACACACAAACACACAGATGCACAAACACACAGACGCACAAACACACAGACACACAACAACACACAAACACACAAACACACAGACACACAAACACACAAACACACAGACACACAGACGCACAAACGCACAAACACACAGACACACACACAGACGCACAAACACACAACACACAAACACACAAACACACAAACACACAAACACACAGACACACAAACACACAGACACACAGACACACAAACACACACACAAACACACAAACACACACAAACACACAAACACACACAACACACACAACAACACACACACACACAACGCACACACAAACACACAAACACACAAACACACAAACACACACACACAACACACAACACACAAACGCACAAACACACACAAACACACAAACGCACAAACGCACAAACACACAAACACAAAAGCAGAGTGAGGCTGAGGTAGGGAGTTTGTGGCAGGTACTGCACGTATGTTAAAGTCATGTCCAGATTCTTTGTATTTCCTCAGTCGTCCAGGTAGAATCTACAGCAAAGAAGAAATTCAGTTCCGTCACTGAATAAAGGTTTTTAGACTGAATGCTTTTCGCTGGAGGACACCAACCCTCCTTCACATTCACTGTAGTTACAAGATATAATGTCCTGTCTAAGGCTAGAAAAAAATGGATTTCCACTGAAACAAAATATTAGTCCAAATAATTTCTCTTGTGGTTCAGTAAACTTTGTCTAAGTCAAAATTGAAGTGTAAGTCTAGTGCAACTGAGAAAACACGGGACTGTGGTACAGTTACATGTGAATAAAATCAGTACCTGGAGTGGGGGGATTGTTACATCTGTGAGTCTGTTACCTGCCAGTTATATGTATGTATATATATATATATATATGTATATATATATATATATATATATATATATATATATATATATATATATATATATATATATATATATATATATATATATATATATATATATATATATATATATATATTTGATCATTTGAAAACAATAAAAACATTTTGATTTAAAAAGAATGTGTTTCAGAGCTTCACTTCTGGTCAGACGCTTGTTTACACTTCCAGTGGATAATGCCACAGTGAGGAACATTCTAGGACACTGAAGTGTCCACCAGCGTCTGACCAGAACTGAAGAAGCAGTTTGGATGAGCTGCGAAACGTCTTTGATCAAAAAACTTTTGTCCAATTGACAGAATGAATTTCTCCTTTGCTATGCTTTGCAGCAACATCATCCTGGGGAAGTTCTACATGGTTCTCTATGGTGGAATGTTTAGCAGTTACCATAGAGACACAACCCATGGATTTGGAAACACAGACAAAAAAACGTTTAAGACAGTTAAACACATTTTCAGGAGCTTGTGATCAATAACTTAAATGACTTGAATTCAGAATATGAATAAAAATATATTACATACAATTTAGTAATTTAAAGCATCTAGATCATGTGACAGGTTTAAATACTTAAATATACTCATATTGCAGTTTTAAATCAAAATGTTAAAAACTGCATTTCATAAATGACATTGGAAAAAAAAACATTATTATTGATTTATTTTCACAGTAGACTGAGTTTATTCTGACCTCTCCCAGATGTGAGTCGCCCAGAGGTCCTTTGGTCTCTGTGTTGGCGATGATGACTTTAACTCCTGGAAGAATCTGCTCACAAAACACACAACATGAGAAACTTTATCACAGGGTTTCAGGTTCTGTAATTCTGAGTTGGTTTGTTGGGACAGTCCCTGTGGTCAATATTTATCATAGTTTTACATCAGTTAAAGGTTTTATATTACAAAAAACTGTAAATTATGAAGCTGTTTCTGATCAATATCAGAGTTTACAGTGAACACGATGTAAACTGAAGATCTCCTTGTGTTATTGTTCAAAACTAAACATCAGAAATAAAGCAGGACTTGTACCTTCCCAGACTCCATGAGCGGTAAACTGTGCGGTGAGCCCTTTTCCACCAGGCGCACCCTGCAGGCACAAAGAGGAACAACACGTCCATGAACAGTGACGATGTTGTTTAATGTTCTTTTACCGTCCTGGTGCAAAGTTTTTAATGTCATAAAAAAATCATCAAACCAAAATAATAAAAACACAAAATCCTGTTTTAGTCCTGGTTTCGACCTGGTTTAGACCTGGTTTAGTCCTGTTTTAGTCCTGGTTTAGACCTGGTTTAGACCTGGTTTAGTCCTCCTGGTTTCCTGTTTTAGTCCTGGACCTTTTCGACCTGGTTTAAGTCCTGTTTTAGTCCTGGTTTAGACCTGGTTTAGACCTGGTTTTGACCTGGTTTAATCCTGGTTTAGTCCTGTTTTAGTCCTGGTTTAGACCTGGTTTTGACCTGGTTTAATCCTGTTTTAGTCCTGTTTTAGTCCTGTTTTAGTCCTGGTTTTAGTTTAGTCCTGGACCTGGTTTAGTTTTAGTCCTGTTTCCTGGTTTAGTCCTGTTTTAGTCCTGTTTTAGTCCGTTTAGTCCTGGTTTAGTCCTGGTTTAGACCTGGTTTAGTCCTGTTTTAGTCCTGTTTAGTCCTGGTTTAGACCTGGTTTAGTCCTGTTTTAGTCCTGTTTTAGTCCTGTTTTAGTCCTGGTTTAGACCTGGTTTAGACCTGGTTTTAAGTCCTGTTTTAGTTTTAGTCCTGTTTTTAGAGTCCTGGTTTAGTCCTGGTTTAGACCTGGTTTAGACCTGGTTTTAGTCCTGTTTTAGTCCTGTTTTACCTGGTAGACCTGGTTTAGTCCTGTTTTAGTCCTGTTTTAGTCCTGGTTTAGACCTGGTTTCGACCTGGTTTAATCCTGTTTTAGTCCAGTTTTTAGTCCTGGTTTAGTATTATATTATATTATCAACAAATATTTCATGTCATGAGGTGTGAGGTGTGTCCGGGTGTGTGTCCGGGTGTGTGTCCGGGTGTGTGTCCGGGGTGTGTGTGTGTGTGTCCGGGTGTGTGTCCGGGTGTGTGTCCGGGTGTGTGTCCGGGTGTGTGTGAGGTGTGTCCGTGTGTCCGGGTGTGTCCGGGTGTGTGTCCGGGTGTGTGTCCGGGTGTGTGTCCGGGTGTGTGTCCGGGTGTGCGTCCGGGCGGTGCGCACCTGTCGTGGCGCAGCGCTCTCATGTCCACGTACACGGTGGTGGGGTCGGGTCCGGAGGTTCCCTGTGGACAGAGGACAGAGGAGGCGTGAGGGGACGTGTCTCACAGGGGGACAGGGGACACGCAGCAGTAGCAGAATGACATGAGGGTGAAGCCGAGCAGCGGACGCAGCCTGTGGTCAGGACCATGGTCATCTGCACTGGACACACACACGTCACATGACCTGCGCCAGGAACGTGAGCAGAGAGTGTGTGAGCGGAGTCGCACACCGCGGCTTTTTCTCCTGAGACACGGGAGACGCTGAGGCTCACGGCGCTTTGATAAAACACATGGATGATTTTACTACAGAATCTGAGGGACGACAGGAGAGCACGGAAACCCCACTGACAAATATTCAGTACCGTATTTTTCGGACTATAAGTGTCACTTTTTTCATGGTTTTTGACTTATTCTCCGGTGTGACTTCTATATTAAAATGTTTTTGGTGAAGTGTGGAGAGGTTCTAGTCTTGTGTGTGAGTATCTGCTGCTCCTGTTCCTCCTGCACCACTGTCACTTGGCTCTACTGCGCATGTCTCCTGCAGAAAGAGCCTCTGTCCTGTCTGTATCATGTCAGTCGATCGCACCGTTACTTCTGCACCACTGAACAATTTAACATTTAAACTTTAAACTTATAAAGACAAAGACTGAGAAGACTGAACACAAACGCCCCCAAAAACAAAATCAGATTCTGCAGATTACAAACTGAAAGTCGTGAAATCGAGCAGCAGAAAAAAAAAGTTTGGAGTGAGAGAGAAACTTGTGACACCGGGAGGATGCACCATGAAACTTTCCTGAAGTCACTGGATGGACAAAGTCTGGACTTCAGTGACACCGAAACCATCCTGTCGGGATTCAGAAAGACCGAAATAATTCTAACTGGAGCTGACGCTGAGTCTGACGACAGCGACACAGAAGAGTTTGCGTCGCTCTGTTTACCTCCGGAGGTCGAGTTGTTCAGAAGTGACACCGAGGATGAAGAATTGAATGGATTTAGTGATTTGGAGTGAGATGGAGAGTTTGGTTAAACTTGTTCTGTTCTGTTGTTTATGTTATAGTTTATCTGAAGAACTGTTCATATGTGACGTTAACAGTCTGTTGTTCTCTCTTCTGTTGTTTTTACTACAACTTGATGCTGCACTTTAAATTTCCCACTTTACGAGAGGTGAGGAACAAAATCTGCTCATCATTATTCGCTTTATCCCGAGTTTATATTTTGCGTCTCTGTGT